ACCTTTCGGTCATGATCAGTCAGTAACATAACCACAACATAACACGACACAACATTACATAACCACGGCAAGCTGCTTATAGTGGATGATCTTACTGTTATCATCGTTCAGTAAGATAATATAACATAAAAAGAACACAAGACAATATAAGATAACACAACACAGTCATAGTTGTTAACCATACGGTCACTATCAGTTAGTTAGACTGCAGTTAACCCTGTACCCAACAAAATATGACATGACAAAAAACTACACAACACATCACTCTCAGGAAAACAGCGTTGCCTGCATAACACAGGACAGCACAACAAGGCGCTGGCCAACCGTTTCAATGACTCTGCAGTTGAAACAGCTAGTAGTACACCATCCGCCCAGCAGATGGCACTGTCACCTAAGGAAATAGCAGGGAACATGCTCCAGCTGCAGTCTATACTGCAGTGTTAGGCTGCAGATGTGTTCTGAAAACCGTTAAAAGAGCATCTGTCTTCACAATTATCGCCCTAGCTAACCAACTCAATTGTCATCTTCCTCATAACAAGATGCTTACCATCCAGATACATGAAAAGAGATTAGGTGAATAGGGCCGAAACACGCTCACATCATGAGAAGGAAGTCATGTTTGCCTTCGTCCAGATACCTAGTGAAAAGTATTCTACTCTCAAATCAACCCCCAGCCCCTACAATCTAGATTCTAGATGCAAGGCACTTATGTAGATCTGAGAGGATTGGATAGGTGTCCGTAACATGGCAAATATTCCACCTGGCCTATCAGAGGGCAAGATGGAGCTGCCACCATATTTCTTACACCTATCCAATCCTCTCAGATCTACACAAGTACCTAGGGGGGAGGTACTAGGGGCTGATTTGGGATTCAGAGGTTAGAGTGCAATGATGCATTGGTATTGGTATACAAAAATGCTAGGCTAAGAAAGCTGAGTGATGGATTGATTGATTTTATTGATTTTATTAGATTAATTAAAAACATGATAAAAACTATTTAAAAGCTCATCCTGTGCGTCTGCCGGCAGGCTCAGACAATATCAATGACAGGAGCATGCTGGGTAAATGGACAGTGAGACATAGCTGCAGGATGTAGGGGTGATGATGGTGCTGCAGGACCCCCTGATAAATACACTTTTTAAAAATCTTCGTTCCATTGAACATGCCATACAAATAAAGGCATTCTAATTATATGAGTGCCTTGCTCCTCCTTTCTTTTTGATGCCCAATTTACCCATTTTACCAAAGAGCACCTTCTATCTACAAAGACCTACTATTGTCTACCCTAGCAGTGCTTCCCCCTTCCTTCTTTTTCTACAATAATATAAGATACTTCATGAAAGTGAAGGTATTAATGAGAGTATACACCGAGTGTACAAAACATTAGGAACACCTTCCTAATATTGAGTTGCACCCCCTTTTGCCCTCAGAACAACCTCAATTCGTCGGGGTATGGACTACAAGGTGTCAAGCATTCCACAGGGATGCTGGCCCATGTTGACACAAATGCTTCCCACAGTTGTGTGAAATTGGCTTGAAGTCCTTTGGGTGGTGGACCATTCTTGAAACACACAGGAAACTGTTGAGCGTGAAAAACCCAGCAGCGTTGCAGTTCTTGACACACTCAAACCGGTACGCCTGGCACCTACTAATTTGGATTTGAAATGATACATGATGATGTCAGCTTTATTTGAGGGTATTTTTATTCATATTGGGTGAGCAGTTTAGAAATAACAACACTTTTTGTGCATAGTCCCCCCATTTTAGGGGACAAATTCACATATGTGTATTAATGTAATGAACAGTTTAGTATTTGGTCCTATATTCCTAGCATGCAATGATTACATCAAGTTTGTGACTCTACAAACTTGATCGATGCATTTGCTGTTTGTTTTGGTTGTGTTACCGTAAACATGGTAGCGTCCACATTAATGTAGAAGTGTTTAGAAACATATTTTATTCTTATTTACAATAAAAGTGACTCCAAAATGACAAAATACATTATTTACCATTAATTTCTATTGGGCACAAAATTATCTGCAACACAACCAAAACATACAGCAAATGCATCCAATAAGTTTGTAGAGTCACAAGCTTGATGTAAAAAATGGTGTGCTATGAAAATGGGACCAAATACTAATCTTTTAACTACTTGGATACACATGAGTGAATTTGTCCCAATACTTTTGGTCCCCTTAAAATGGGGGACTATGTACAAAAAGCACTGTAATTTCTAAACGGTTCTCCTGATATGGATGAAAATACCCTTAAATTAAAGCTGACAGTCTGCACTTTGTATCATTTCAAATCCAAAGTGATGGAGTACAGAGCCAAAACAACAACAAAAAATGTCACTGTCCCAATACTTTTGGAGCTCACTCTAGGTGCCAAAAGGCCTTTATTTGAAATTATGCAATACTGTACTAACAAACCAAAATTGATTTATATACTGTTGTTTATCAAATATATCAGATATTTTAGCCCACACAATTCCACACATAAATACGTTTAATCTGAAAGAACATTCACAGTCATGTACCAACATATTTCCTTTCACCCTTTAATTATAATTATTTTCATTTGGGTTGTTCTACTACAGAACAAGAAACCTGGATTTACAAAGACTTAAGTGATTATAAGCAAATTGACAGTAAGTATACAATGAAACACTGGAGACTGGGAGAGACATCAGCACAATTAACAAAGAGAACAGGAGAATCACACTGAATTATGGCTATAAAGTTCAAGCACTTCAATCATCATATTTCATAAATTAAAGTTATAGCTACAAAATACAATGAATATGTATCAATTGTTTTGGTATTGTATTGTATAGCTATATTGTAATAAAATAATCTCTGAAGATGACATAATAACAAGATGACACAATGTCCTGTAGCAGCTTGTAGACTTGATAGTTTATATGACTCTCATTTTGTATTTCCGATAAACACTCCCTGACATTCACAACTAAAAGGACAGTGATGCTAATCAAAGGTTGTTGCGACAGGGTACCACATAGAGGTTCTGTTTAATGGACACCATAAAGACTTCCTGCATAGAAAAACATCAACATGGAAAAGTACAGATGTCAATGGGACTCTAAAATCAGTGGTTCCAAAACTTTGCATTGAGGCATTGAACCTTTTTTATGTTCTTGTGAGCCACCAAACCAGGGGAAAACGACTGCCCCCTCTCATTGAAGCCACAAAGTTAAAGGCCGACCGCGATACTGCAGGCAATGTTTGCAGAAAACAGGCAATCTTCGTGTATATGGATTTTTTCCCTGAAGACAATCATGGTACCAATAATTGCTTCTATTACACCAGATGTATATCCTTTTAACCATTTTTTTTCTAAAAATAGCACACAGAAGAAGTTAAAAGGATAACTGACCGCCCATGACAAAATCGGAGCGGGGACTCTGGATCTGTCTCCGTCCGTTAGTATGTTCGTCACACACAATTTCTCAAACAGCACTGGCCAGATTTTGACGAAACTTGGGTGGATGATGTGTCTTGCCATAAAGATCCGGCATTTACAAAATTACACTGATTGGCCAGATGGTGGCACTATACCAAGCGATTGAAACTACAATCTTTGAAAGGTCACGCCTCTAACCCCATTTGACCTAAAGTCATGCAATTCGGTACATAGGTCCCTCTCCTCACATGGAACAAATTTGCCTCAGGGCCATAAGGTCCGCCAAGATGGATTTCCACCATTTAGAATTTTGTGAAGAACACTTAAAAAGCTACTCCTCTGGCACCGAATGACCGATCTGCACAAACCTTGATATGTGGCATCATTGGACAAAGGTCTCTCAACGCAACCCTTCCAGACTAGTACCTAAAACAACACAGCCGCTATTGACCCATAAACATTCACATGGGCGTGGTCTGGCACATAAATGCATATAAATCAGTCAAGGATATCCGTATTGTAACAATATTTGGTATACATGTTGCAAACTGTTTAAACTCAACATATGCAAGAACATTCATATCGACCATACGGTGGCGCTATAACAGGCACATGTTTATATCTCTTGATCTGTTTGACTCAGAGTGATTACATTTGGCACACATGCTCAGGGATATGAGTCTAGCTAAACCATACGATTTACCAGACACCACTGGCCCGATTTTGACTAAGCTTGGGTGAATGATGCGTCTTGCCATAGAGATCTGCCATTTCCAAAATTACACTGATTGGCCAAAGGGTGCGCTATAGTAATCAACTGTACGTACATTAGTCACACGCGGCATCTCAGACACCACTTGACCGATTTTGACTAAACGGGTGAATGATGAGTCTTGCCATACAGATCAATCATTTACAAAATTACATTGATTGGCCCAAGAGGGACACTGCATCATTCGTGGGGGACTACATGTTTACTGTTGCCTTGTTTTAGTTGCTAATTGCAGCTTGCAGTACCCCGGTCGGCCTTCAACCTGAGATACTAAATGAGAGGGGGCAGCACTGAGCTAACCTGAAATGTCACTTCCTGGACAAGCTCAAACTGCGTATGTTATGTATCCTTTAGACGCCATCTTAACTGACTTTTTTGGCTTCAAATGCGCTATTGAGTCTTCATATAGGAAATAATGGTGTCACGTGATTGATGGCTTTGTACATTAATATACAGTCATTGCACCAAACAGCTAAAACTATGTTTCTAAAGATCAACGGTCTTGAAATGGCCTTAACTGCAAACCAAGAGCCATTTTCCAGTGTCCACAAGCCACCATTTTGAGAAAAAACGGATCCTAACATACAACAGATGTAAGATGGCTGCTGATAGAGAGACTTGTGAGAAGGATGTCCACACTGTCACTTCCCCAATCAGTCAAGTATGAATGGGATATGCTTGAAAGAACCTTGAAAGAACGTTTCAAGAAACGTTTCAACCACCAGAGTACTGTATTGCCACTGAGTGCTCAGAGCTATAGTAGGCTAACCCAGTTCTCGTTCGATATGTGAGCGTGGCTGAATTTTTAAATATCTATGAGGTCATCACCACTCTCGTCACTCTCTACGGTCAGCTGACGCGTCCACCATTTCTTGACCTCTGACCCCGAGGAGGCTTCGTCACTCACAGGGTTCATCTTACATACCATGGACTTGACACTGGTACGACCTGGACAGATAGAGAGAAGAGATTTGGGTTAATGGAAAAACAATATGTGAGTATCTGTTGACATACAGCATTGCTCCAATGTTATTTTTCGAATGGCCGTATGATTCCTAGGCTTCAGTCACGCGGATGACATGGGTTCGATACACATTGACACTGGTCGGTCACATTGGTTTTGTGAGCACAGAGTTGATGTTTGTTGACACTGCACACACACACGCACAAACGGTACTCACCTGCAGGTAGTCTCCACTGTCCCAGTTTCCTCTGAGGGCGTTCTGAGGAGTCCTGTCTGTATCCCCCACGGTCTGACAGAGTAGGACTCAGCAGTTGTTGGAGACCACTCAACTACAGGTAGGTAAGAGTAGAAAAGTTGTATAGTACATGTATGAAACCTGTATGAAACATTGTATAATTTTAAAAGGGACATATCCTGTTAAGAGCATTCACAAAAAAATGTGTACTGCAAGTTTCTTACCTGGCAAAGGACTATGTGTACCTACTACAGACTGTACAGAAAACCTTACCATACAAACTCTCCCATCTTATCCATCTCGCTGGTGTGAGGTGTGTGTGGTTCAATGAATGTCTGTGCGCGTGTGTGCATATGTGTGTGTGTGTGTGTGTGTGTGTGTGTACCTCTGGCTGTGTTGGGTGGTCCTGGTTAGCGTTGATGTCCTCACTAGGCAGGGTGGTCTGTATGCTGGGGGGGTTGAGGAAGCGACTGAGCTCCTGCTGCTGACTCTCTCTCAGGCTGTGGATGATGCTGCACGACTGCTGCTGCTTCTGTAGCAGGAGAGACAGGGAGAGTGAGTCCTCAAAGGACACGATACAGCACAGAACAAACCACAAAAACTTTGGAACAGTGTATCCAAACATGACTTCTGCGTATTCTGTAGGGGAAGTGACAGAGGAGTGGGTCCTCACAAAACACAAAACTAAACAATCTGTTCTCTCAAAATACAAAACTACACAATTGGCAGTTTCTTCAAGCATGATAGTTACTGTAGGAGAGAGAGTGCAGTGGGTCCTCACAATACGCTACTGTACACAGCAGATTGTTTTGTTAAGCAGTGGGTCCTCACAAAACATGTCACAGCACACAACAGTAGGTCCTCACAAAACACCTTACAGCACAAGGCAGTAAGTCAACAAAAACGAACAACTCACTTGGTTTGTGTGTGTGTGTGTGTGTGTGTGTGTGTTTATATATATATATATATATATATATATATATATATATATATATATATATATATATATACACTGAGTGTACTAAACATTAAGAACACCTGCTCTTTCCATGACATAGACTGACCAGGTGAATCCAAGTAAAAGCTATGATCCCTTATGTCACTTGTTAAATCCACTACAATCAGTGTAGATGAAGGGGAGGAGATTTTTAGACAATTGAGACATGGATTGTATATGTGTGCCATTCAGAGGGTGAATGGGAAAGTTAAAATATTCAAGTGCCTTTGAATGGGGTGTGGTAGTAGGTGCCAGGCACACCGGTTTGTGTCAAGAAATGCAACGCTGCTGGGTTTTTCACGCTCAACAGTTTCCTGTGTGTATCAAGAATGGTTCACCACCCAAAGAACATCCAGCCAACTTGACACAACTGTGGGAAGCATTGGAGTCAACATGGGCCAGCATCCCTGTGAAACGCTTTCGACACCTTGTAGAGTCCATACCCCGACGAATTGAGGCTGTGCTGAGGGCAAAAGGGGGTGTGGGGGGGTTTGGGGGGTGCAACTCAATATAAGATGGTGTTCTTAATGTTTGGATATCTTACAGCACGGATGCGTTTGAGGCACTTCTTGAGCCACATGCGTATGGTCTGCTTGGCCACCTCTTCTTCTATGGTGTACTCCAGCTGCTCTCTAGCCAGCAGCTCCTCCAGCTGTAGAGACTTCCTGATATCCACTGAGCGGTACGACAACATACTGCAGCAACACAGGGGGACACGGAAGAGAAAGAATGTTAGAAGAATGAATAGATAAGGACTCAATACGTAACCATGGGCTAAAATATATCCTAATAAACAACAATAATATAATGTTTTAGAAGGACTAAATGGGTCTACAGAACAATATGAAAACACACTGGGGGAAACAATACAGGCCCCCCCCCCCACAAAAAAAACTATATATGGATTAAGCAGGTGTGTTTGACGTTGTCACCTGTGCACATTGTGGAAGGTGTGTGTCTATGTGTGTGTGCCGTTGTCACCTCAGCACGTTGTGGAAGGTGTATGTCAATATGTCCATCTGTGTGTGCCGTTGTCACCTGAGCACGTCGTGGAAGGTGACATCCCCTCCGTTGTGCAGCCTCTCCATCTCGTAGCACATGTGTTTGAACAGCAGCTTGTCCTTATCCAGGTCTACCTCTAGCCTGCCCCTCAGCAGACGCAGCAGGAACTTCACCCGCGATGTTGGGATCACTCCCTGAGAGAGAGTGGTTAAAGGTCACCCCACCTGTCCAGACTTTTCTTTCCCTCCCTCCATCTCTTCTCCACTTCCAACCCTTGCCTCTCCACACGGTTCCTACCCTATCATATCAGTTGGTTTCTCCCGATCTCCCTGTATCTCTCCTTTCTCTCACTCTCACTCCATCCATCCCTCCAGCTCTCCTCCACTTCCAAACCTTACCTCCCCACAAGGTTCCCTCTCTCTCTCTCCTCTGACATCATCCACCATGTTCCAGATGACCTAGAAGTGTTTCAGCCCCTTTTCACCCCCTCCTCCATCATCTCTCCCCCCACCCCCTCTCCTCTCACCTCTCTCTTGTCGTCCACATTGTTCCAGATAATCTGAAAGTGTCGGAGGTCGTTGTAGCTCAGTAGCTGGTCCTCCTCAGTGGAGTAGAACAGAGAGAAGTTCTCCACGATGATGGCTGCAAAACACACACATATCTGAGGTTATCACATGTCTGAACACTTCAATGTAGTATACATCCAGCAGATATGTCTGGGACACAACAATGACATATCATGCAAGAGTTATTTACACCTACAATTTGCTACCATACTGTCTTGTATGCCTTCAAAAATGAAGAGGTGGCTCCAGTTATATTTACTGATTTTGATTTATCACCTTTGTTACAGGCTTTTCCATTTATATTTCGAGTTTGGACGCTAGCACGTTAGCACGTGGGGCGCACTGACTGGTGTCACCTCATTAGTCAGTATGTATTACACCTGTTCTGGTTGGTCATCTCGTTAGTGGGAAGGTGTTTCACCTGTGCTGGCCCAGGTGCTATCTCAGAGTGGCTGGCCCAGTGCTCCAGTGGTCTTGAGAGACATGGAAGGTTAACACCTTTAGTTGGCTCTCCCTATTTGATTTCTAGACAAACAATCCCTAAAATGGCCACAATATATTTGGTCACTGCTCCTCCAAAGTGTTCTTGTGGGAAAGGCTCAGAAAGTGTACGCCGCTTTATCTCTTGACCAGAGTGCAGATTATGACACTGTTAAAGCTGCTATCCTTCAGGCTTACGAGTTGGTCCCAGAGGCATACAGACAACAGTCCCGTAAATTACGAAGACAGAATCACAAAGCCATGTTGAGTTCGCAAGGGAACAAGCATGTCTTTTTGATCGGTGGTGTGGTTCTCAAGAGGTCAAGGACCTTAAGGATTTAAAGACTCTCATACTTCTCGAGAAGTTAAGGAATTGCCTTCACAAAAGGGTTGCGACCTACATTTATGAGCACAAGGATCTCAAATCAAATCAAATGTTATTGGCCACATGCGCTGAATACAACAGGTGCAGACATTACAGTGAAATGCTTACTTACAGCCCTTAACCAACAGTGCATTTATTTTTAATAAAAAAGTAAAATAAAACAACAACAAAAAAGTGTTGAGAAAAAAAGAGCAGAAGTAAAATAAAATAACAGTAGGCAGGCTATATATACAGGGGGGTACCGTTGCAGAGTCAATGTGCGGGGACACCGGCTAGTTGAGGTAGTTGAAGTAATATGTACATGTGGGTGGAGTTAAAGTAACTATGCATAAATAATTAACAGAGTAGCAGCAGCGTAAAAAGATGGGGTGGGGGTGGGGGGGACAGTGCAAATAGTCCGGGAAGCCATGATTAGCTGTTCAGGAGTCTTATGGCTTGGGGGTAGAAGCTGTTGAGAAGTCTTTTGGAACTAGACTTGGCACTCCGGCTTGCCGTGCGGTAGCAGAGAGAACAGTCTATGACTAGGGTGGCTGGAGTCTTTGACAATATTGAGGGCCTTCCTCTGACACCGCCTGGTATAGAGGTCCTGGATGGCAGGAAGCTTGGCCCCAGTGATGTACTGGGACGTACGCACTACCCTCTGTAGAGCCTTGCGGTCGGAGGCCGAACAGTTGCCATACCAGGCGGTGATGCAACCAGTCAGGATGCTCTCGATGGTGCAGCTGTAGAATTTTTTGAGGATCTGAGGACCCATGCCAAATCTTTTCAGTCTCCTGAGGGGAAATAGGCTTTGTCGTGCCCTCTTCACGACTGTCTTGGTGTGTTTGGACCATGATAGTTCGTTGGTGATGTGGACACCAAGGAACTTGAAGCTCTCAACCTGTTCCACTACAGCCCCGTCGATGAGAATGTGGGCGTGCTCAGTCCTCTTTTTTTTCCTGTAGTCCACAATCATCTCCTTTGTCTTGGTCACGTTGAGGGAGAGGTTATTATCCTGGCACCACACGGCCAGGTCTCTGACCTCCTCCCTATAAGCTGTCTCATCGTTGTCTGTGATCAGGCCTACCACTGTTGTGTCGTCGGCAAACTTAATGATGGTGTTGGAGTCGTGCCTGGCCATGCAGTCATGGGTGAACAGGGAGTACAGGAGGGGACTGAGCACGCACCCCTGAGGGGCCCCCGTGTTGAGGATCAGTGTGGCAGATGTGTTGTTACCTACCCTTACCACCTGGGGGCGGCCCGTTAGGAAGTCAAGGATCCAGTTGCAGAGGGAGGTGTTTAGTCCCAGGATCCTTAGCTTAGTGATGAGCTTTGAGGGCACTATGGTGTTGAATGCTGAGCTGTAGTCAATGAATAGCATTCTCACGTAGGTGTTCCTCTTGTCCAGGTGGGAAAGGGCAGTGTGGAGTGCAATAGAGATTGCATCATCTGTGGATCTGTTGGGGCGGTATGCAAATTGGAGTGGGTCTAGGGTTTCTGGGATAATGGTGTTGATGTGAGCCATGACCAGCCTTTCAAAGCACTTCATGGCTACAGATGTCAGTAGTCGGTAGTCATTTAGGCAGGTTATCTTAGTGTCCTTGGGCACGGGGACTATGGTGGTCTGCTTGAAACATGTTGGTATTACAGACTCAGTTAGGGACATGTTGAAAATGACAGTGAAGACACTTGCCAGTTGGTCAGCACATGCTCGGAGTATACGTCCTGGTAATCCGTCTGGCCCTGCGGCCTTGTGAATGTTGACCTTCTTAAAAGTCTTACTCACATCGGCTACGGAGAGCGTGATCACATAGTCATCCGGAACAGCTGGTGCTCTCATGCATGCTTCAGTGTTGCTTGCCTCGAAGTGAGCATAGAAGTGGTTTAGCTCGTCTGGAAGTCTTGTGTCACTGGGCAGCTCGCGGCTGTGCTTCCCTTTGTAGTCTGTAATAGTTTTCAAGCCCTGCCACATCCGACGAGTGTCAGAGCCGGTGTAGTACGATTCAATCTTAGTCCTGTATTGACTCTTTGCCTGTTTGATGGTTCGTCGGAGGGCATAGCAGGATTTCTTATAAGCGTCCGGGTTAGAGTCCCGCTCCTTGAAAGCGGCAGCTCTACCCTTTAGCTCAGTGCGGATGTTTCCTGTAATCCATGGCTTCTGGTTGGGGTATGTACGTACGGTCACTGTGGGGACGACATCATCGATGCACTTATTGATGAAGCCAGTGACTGATGTGGTGTACTCCTCAATGCTATCTGAAGAATCCCGGAACATGTTCCAGTCTGTGCTAGCAAAACAGTCCTGTAGCTTAGCATCTGCGTCATCTGACCACTTTTTTATTAACCGAGTCACTGGTGCTTCCTGCTTTAGTTTTTGCTTATAAGCAGGAATCAGGAGGATAGATTTATGGTCAGATTTGCCAAATGGAGGGCGAGGGAGAGCTTTGTATGCGTCTCTGTGTGGAGTAAAGGTGGTCTAGAGTTTTTTTTTCCTCTGGTTGCACATTTAACATGCTGGTAGAAATTAGGTAGCACGGATTTAAGTTTCCCTGCATTAAAGTCCCCGGCCACTAGGAGCGCTGCCTCTGGATTAGCGTTTTCCTGTTCACTTATGGCCTTATACAGCTCATTCAGTGCAATCTTAATGCCAGCATTGGTTTGTGGTGGTAAATAGACAGCTATGAAAAATATAGATGAAAACTCTCTTGGTAAATAGTGTGGTCTACAGCTTATCAAAACCTCGAGACTTCCTTAGTATTTGATTTTGTGCACCAGCTGTTGTTTACAAATATACACAGACCGCCATCCCTTGTCTTACCGGAGTCAGCCGTTCTATCCTGCCGATGTAGCGTATAGCCCGCTAGCTGTATGTTGTCCATGTCGTCGTTCAGCCACGACTCGGTGAAACATAAGATGTTACAGTTTTTAATGTCCCGTTGGTAGGATAACCGTAATCTTAGGTCATCCAATTTATTCTCAAATGATTGAAGATAGGCTAATAGGATAGATGGGAGAGGCGGTTTTCTCGCTCACCGTCGGATCCTTACAAGGTACCCCGACCTACGTCCACGATATCTCTGTCTCTTTCTCATGGGAATGACGGGGATTTGGGCCTTGTCGGGTGTATGTAGGATATCCTTCGCGGCCGCCTCGTTGAAGAAAAAATCTTCTTCCAATACGAGGTGAGTAATCGCTGTCCTGATATCCAGAAGCTCTTTTTGGTTATAAGAGACGATGGCAGAAACATTATGTACAAAATAAATTACAAATAACGCGGAAAAACACACATAATAGTACAATTGGTTAGAGGGCTGTAAAACGGCAGCCATCTTCTCCGGCGCCATTCCTCAGTGTAGCTTGAGAAAGCAGCAGTTCTTGCAGATGAGTTTTTGTTGACTCACAAAACTACCTTCACAAACAAAGCACCCAGTAGTTATCCCCACGCAAAAAGCATGGAAGTTCCTTTGTATAATTTAGAACTTGAGTCTGATCTTATTTCTGGTTCCATTGTTGTTGGAGTGAGGCCTGTTTTGGGAAACAATTTGGCTGGAGGGAAGGTCGTGCCAAATTCTGTCGTTTGTAAGGAACCAAGAGTAGAGGAACCAGATGATTTATCAGAAAAGTACCCTTGAGTGTTCCCAACGTGTGCCGTTACACGTGCTATGTCTAAGAAAGTTGCTGGGCGCAAGTCTAGTGTTGAGGAGGATGTCAGCGATCCCACAATGGTCGATCTGTCAAAGACATTTATGGGTGATCATGATTTCGCTAAACCTCCTGAGTTGACCTCTCCTTTGAAAACCCAAAAGGTGAGTGAGTTTGTAGGACCGCTGAAGGAAGAGACGGTCCCTACAGTTGACACTTCAATCTCTAGGAAGCAGCTGATTGCTGAACAGAGTAAAGATGTTTCCCTCTCCCCTCTTTTTGCTGAGATACGTCCAGAGGAGGAGTTTGATGAAGTTCGTGTGGGTTACATTGACAGAGATGGTGTTCTAATGAGGAAATGGCATTCTCGTGCCACTTCTGGGCAAGACTATTGGCCCAGTGTATCTTAAATTGTCATTCCAGTTACACTTCGACAAGAGATACTAAGTTGGCTCACGATGGTAGTATGGCAGGCCATCTTGGGGTCAACAAGAAGTTTGACTGTATGTTACATAACATCTTCCGCCCTGGTCTGAAACAGGATGTTGTGTCTTACTGTAAATCCAGCGAACGTGCAAAACAAGCTGTACCGGTTGCACCTTTGCAGCCGATTCCTGCTTTTGACAAACCTTTCAGCAGGGTTCTGGTGGACTGTGTTGGTCCTTTGCCCAAAGCAAAGAGTAGTAACCAGTTTCTTTTGACCATCATGTGTGCTGCCACTCGTTTCCCTGAGGCCATTCCATTGAGGAAAATCACGAGAGGAAAGTTACTACGGATATTGCATGAGTTTCCCCTTGAAATCAGACATCAGTGGAAAGGATAACTTGGTTGCTGATTGTCTTTCAAGGGTGGGCAGTTAATACGTTTTGTGTTTTGTGTTTAGCCAGTGTGTGGCCCTGGTTTACAATTTATTTTGAATGCATGTTTTGGAGATGAGTTTTGTTTTTGTTGCGCTAATTCCAAGGGGATGCGAGTTATAGAAACGTATTTGATTTTACCAGTTTCTCAAAACTTCAGAGTTTTAGGGAGCAGTATATATATATATATATATATATATATATATATATATATATATATATATATATATATACATACACACACTGGTTGAGAGAATGCCAAGAGTGTGCAAAGCTGTCATCAAGGCAAAGGGTGGCTATTTGAAGAATCTCAAATATAAAATATATTTTGATTTGTTTAACACTTTTTTGGTTACTACATGATTCCATATGTGTTATTTCATAGTTTTGATGTCTTCACTATTATTCTACAATATAAAAAATAGTAAAAATAAAGAGAACCTTGAATGAGTAGGTGTGTCCAAACTTTTGACTGGTACTGTATGTATATATATATATAGTATATCATTATAAAAAGAAAATTGTTAAAGGTCTGTTTTGTCTTGTATTTAATTGTTGACCGCCAGTTGACACCATGTTTACATTGGAGAAGGCGACGCATTTAAGTAGCGACACATTTACGTTGATCATGTTATGAGATGGAAGTTGTTTTCTGTTGGTTGTGAGCAAACTTGTCCAACAAAAATATAGGATATATTTGTTGTCTTAAGGGGGAAGGTGTTACAGGCTTTGGCTTTTCCATTCATATTTCGAGGTTGGACGTTAGCACGTGGGGCGCACTAACTGGTGTCACCTCGTTTGTCAGTATGTATTACATCTGTTCTGGTTGGTCATCTCGTTAGTGGGAAGGTGTTTCACCTGTGCTGGCCCAGGTGCTATTTAGAGTGGCTCCAGTGGTCTTGAGAGACGTGGAGGGTTAACACCTTTAGTTGGCTCTACATATTAGATTTCTAGACCAACAATCCTTTATCTGATCATCCCTGTTTTGCTCCACTTTTTGGTTTGCTTCCTGTCTTTGTGGGTTTTTCTTTTGTTTGCTTCTTGTTGGGCATATTTAGTGGGCGCTCAGGGTTGGTGTCATTTAGGTCCCAGTTGCTTCTAGTCAACTTTCAGTGGACACCCCCACGAGTGTCTTTCAGAACCCCTCCTAAAACCCCACCTGTTTCGTTTTGGTTATTGTCAGTGACCCTTTGTTAGTTCCCCTTTCTGTTTGAGCGACAATTCTTGGTTTTCTTGCTGAGGAACGTAACACCTTTCATGGCATATTCTCCAACTAGCATTGGTGTGGTCGAGGAACCATACCTGAGCTTCGCTAATGGCACCTGCAATTAGATGTTCATAGCCTTCAGTAAATGGATTGTGAATAATAGGCCTATGTGGCTTTTAGTGGTGACTGGTGAAATGGTATACGTAGTCATTTCCCTACAACACTCACAGCATGAAGCACTGTAGGCATCTAAGGGACAGGTTGTGCTAACAGACACAGTCCATAAAACCACAAGGATATACAGTGGGGAGAACAAGTATTTGATACACTGCCGATTTTGCAGGTTTTACTACTTATAAAGAATGTAGAGGTCTGTATCTTTTATCATAGGTACACTTCAACTGTGAGAGACGGAATCTAAAACAAAAATCCAGAAAATCATGTTGTATGATTTTTAAGTAATTAATTTGCATTTTATTGCATGACATAAGTATTTAATACATCAGAAAAGTAGAACTTAATATTTGGTACAGAAACCTTTGTTTGCAATTACAGAGATCATACGTTTCCTGTAGGTCTTGACCAGGTTTGCACACACTGCAGCAGGGATTTTGGCCCACTCCTCCATACAGACCTTCTCCAGATCCTTCAGGTTTCGGGGCTGTCGCTGGGCAATACGGACTTTCAGCTCCCTCCAAAGATGTTCTATTGGGTTCAGGTCTGGAGACTGGCTAGGCCACTCCAGGACCTTGAGATGCTTCTTACGGAGCCACTCCTTAGTTGCCCTGGCTGTGTGTTTCGGGTCGTTGTCATGTTGGAAGACCCAGCCACGACCCATCTTCAATGCTCTTACTGAGGGAAGGAGGTTGTTGGCCAAGATCTCGCGATACATGGCCCCATCCATCCTCCCCTCAATATGGTGCAGTCGTCCTGTCCCCTTTGCAGAAAAGCATCCCCAAAGAATGATGTTTCCACCTCCATGCTTCACGGTTGGGATGGTGTTCTTGGGGTTGTACTCATCCTTCTTCTTCCTCCAAACACAGCGAGTGGAGTTTAGACCAAAAAGCTCTATTTTTGTCTCATCAGACCACATGACCTTCTCCCATTCCTCCTCTGGATCATCCAGATGGTCATTGGCAAACTTCAGACGGGCCTGGACATGCGCTGGCTTGAGCAGGGGGACCTTGCGTGCGCTGCAGGATTTTAATCCATGACGGCGTAGTGTGTTACTAATGGTTTTCTTTGAGACTGTGGTCCCAGCTCTCTTCAGGTCATTGACCAGGTCCTGCCGTGTAGTTCTGGGATGATCCCTCACCTTCCTCATGATCATTGATGCCCCACGAGGTGAGATCTTGCATGGAGCCCCAGACCGAGGGTGATTGACCGTCATCTTGAACTTCTTCCATTTTCTAATAATTGCGCCAACAGTTGTTGCCTTCTCACTAAGCTGCTTGCCTATTGTCCTGTAGCCCATACCAGCCTTGTGCAGGTCTACAATGTTATCCCTGATGTCCTTACACAGCTCTCTGGTCTTGGCCATTGTGGAGAGGTTGGAGTCTGTTTGATTGAGTGTGTGGACAGGTGTCTTTTATACAGGTAACGAGTTCAAACAGGTGCAGTTAATACAGGTAATGAGTGGAGAACAGGAGGGCTTCTTAAAGAAAAACTAACAGGTCTGTGAGAGCCGGAATTCTTACTGGTTGGTAGGTGATCAAATACTTATGTCATGCAATAAAATGCAAATGAATTACTTAAAAATCATACAATGTGATTTTCTGGATTTTTGTTTTAGATTCTGTCTCTCACAGTTGAAGTGTACCTATGATAAAAATTACAGACCTCTACATGCTTTGTAAGTAGGAAAACCTGCAAAATCGGCAGTGTATCAAATACTTGTTCTCCCCACTGTATATGCCAGATCATATTCAGAAGGAGATGGAGAGATGGATAGCTACAGTTGATGTTGGCTTGCTTCCTAAACTCCCTTGAAATTAATTTAGACTCTGCCAATGTGTCCTCTCTCTCACACACACACACACACACACACACACACACACACACACAGGTGGACCGAGACATGGGAGGTAGATAATGATTTCTGCACGGCAAGGTTTGATGATGAGGTGTGTAATAACAGTGTTAAACTGTCATGGGGAGAGATGAAACCATTTATTGTGCTTTATGAGATATTCACACTCACGTCTCATACCGCAGGAAATGAAATATGGGCCTGAATGTGAGTGGCTTACGCACACACATGCATGCTCGCACACACACTGTCACGTCTCCTCCCGTTGCTCCCCTCCGGCGCTCTGATTCACTGGTCTACTGAGCCACCGGTCTGAGCGCACCACCTCGGCAACACCGGAATGGAAACCCAGCGCACCTGCACCTCATTATCTCATCACCACCCCTATTTAGCCCTGGACTGTTCTGTGTCATGTTGTGTGTGATTGTTTTGCTTCGTGTCATGTACTTTATCTTTGTTAATTTTCTTTGTCATTGTTTGAGTAAACATTGACCTTGTTAATTCCTGCGTCTGCGTCCTGCCTCTTCGTATACTCAGTACTCGTCACACACACCCCATATGGAAAGGCTTTATTCAAATGTTATAAAGTCAATCTTATATGATTAGGGCACACACACACTTACCCACTAGGAGGTTAAGCATGATGTAAGCAATGATGACATAGAAGGAGCAGAAGTAGATGAGTGCTCCTGCGTAGTTCCCACAGTCCGTCTCCCAGTAGCGATGCTTATCGGGGGTACAGAAAGGAGGCTGCACCTGAGGAGGGGAACATCCCAAACACAATGTTATCAATATATGAGGCCCCACACTACAACGTGAACCCACAGAGAGAATTTCCGCTGGGGCCAACCTTATGAAAATGTATGCACGCAAGTTGCTTTGGATAACACTGTCTGCTAAATGGCATATATTATTATATTACACTGAACAAAAATATAAACGCAACATGTAAAGTGTTAGTCCCATGTTTCATGAGCTGAAATAAAACATAACCAAACTTTTCCATATGCACACAAAAAGGTTATTTCTCTCAAATGTTGTGCACAAATGTATTTACATCCTTGTTAGTGAGCATTTCTCCTTTGCCAAGATAATCCATCCACCTGACAGGTGTTGCATATCAAGAAGCTGATTAAACAACATGGTCATTACACAGGTGCACCTGGTGCTGGGGACAAAAAAGGCAACTCTAAAATGTGCAGTTTTGTCACACAACACATCGTCTGAGACCAGCCACCGGACAGCTGATGAAACTGTGGGTTTGTACAACCGAAGAATTTCTGCAGAAACTGTCAGAAACCTCATCTGCATGCTTGTCATCCTCAACAGGGTCTTGACCTGACTGCAGTTCGGTGTTGTAACGTACTAAAGTGGGCAAATGCTCACCTTCGATGCCACTGGCACGCTGGAGAAGTGTGCTCTTCACAGATCAATCCCGGTTTCAACTATACTGGGCAGATGGCAGACAGCGTGTATGGCGCTGTGTGGGCAAGCAGTTTGCTGATGTCAACGTTGTGAAAAGAGTGCCCCATGGTGGCGGTGGGGTTATGGTATGGGGAGTCATAAGCTACGGACAACGAACACAATTGCATTTTATTGATGGCAATTTGAATGCACAGAGATACCGTGACAAGATCCTGAGGCCCATTGTCGTGCCATTCATCCGCCACCATCACCATGTCGCAAGGATCTGTACACAATTCCTGGAAGCTGAAAATGTCCCAGTTCATCCATGGCCTGCATAAATCACTTACCAGACACACATTGAGCATGTTTGGGATTTTGTATTTGTATTTATTAAGGATCCCCATTAGCTGCTGGGATCCAACAACATTAAGGCAGTTATATACCATTTAAAATATTACATGACATTACATTTCATAACACTTTTCACAACACATTAAGTGTGTTCCCTCAGGCCACTACTCTACTACCACATATCTACAATACAAAATCCATGTGTACGTGTGTGTGTAGAGTGCATATCTTATCATGTGTATGTGTAAGCATGTGTCTGTGCCATGTGTGTGTCTTTTCACAGTCCCCGCTGTTCCATTAGGTGTATCTTATTTTTTAAAATCTGATTCTACTGTTTGCATCAGTAACCTGATGTGGAATCTATGTAGTACTGTGCACCTCCCATAGTCTGTTCTTGACTTGGGGATTGTGAAGAGACCTTTGGTGGCATGTCTTGTGGGGTATGCATGGGTGTCCGAGCTGTGTGCTAGTAGTTTAAACAGACACCTCGGTGCATTCAGCATGTCAACACTTCTTACAAAAACAAGTACTGATTAAGTCAATCTCTCCTCCACTTTGAGCCATGAGAGATTGACATGCATATTTTTAATGTTAGCTCGCCGTGTACATTTAAGGGCCAGCCGTGATGCCCTGTTCTGAGCCAATTGTAATTTTCAGAGGTCCCTCTATGTGGCACCTGACCACACAACTGAACAGTAGTCCTGGTGAAACAAAACTAGGGCCTGTAGGACCTGCCTTGTTGATAGTGTTGTTAAAAAGGCAGAGCAGCGCTTTATTATGGACAGACTTCTCCCATTTGAGCTACTATTGAATCAACATGTTTTGACCATGACAGTTTACAATCCAGGGTTACTCCAAGAAGTTTAGTCACCTCAACTGGCTCAATTTCCACATAATTTATTACAGGATTTAGTTGAGGTTTAGGGTTTAGTTAAAAGTAAGGGGCCTAGACAGCTGCCCTTGTCACACCCTGATCTGTTTCACCGGTCTTGTGCTTGTCTCCACCCCCCTCCAGGTGTCGCCCATTTTTGCCATCATCCCCTGTGCATTTATACCTGTGTTTTCTGTTTGTCTGTTGCCAGTTCGTCTTGTCTTGTCAAGCCTACCAGCGTTTTTTCCGTACTCCTGTTTTCTCTCTAGTTCCTGTTTTCTAGTTTTCCCGGTTTTGACCATTCTGCCTGCCCTGACCCTGAGCCTGCATGCCGTTCTGTACCTTGAGACACTGCCCTTGGATTACTGACCTCTGCCTGACCCTGAGCCTGCCTGCCATTCTGTACCTTTCGGACTCTGCTCTGGATTACTGACCTCTGTCTGCCCTTGACCTGTTGCTTGCCTGCCCCTGTTGTTGTAATACACTTTTGTTACTTCGAACTGTCTGCATCTGGGTCTTATCCTGAGGTCTGATAGCCCTGGGGAATTCCTGATTCTATCTGGATTATGTTGGAGAGGCTTCCATTAAAGAACACCCTCTGTGTTCTGTTAGACAGGTAACTCTTTATCCACAACATAGCAGGGGGTGTAGAGCCATAACACATACGTTTTTCCAGCAGCAAACTATGATAGATAATGTGAAAAGCCGCACTGAAGTCTAACAAAGCAGCCCCCTCAATCATTTTATCATAATTTTCTCTCAGCCAATCATCATTCGTTTGTGTAATTGCTGTGCTTGTTGAAGGTCCTTCCCTATAAGCATGCTGAAAGTTTGTTGTCAATTTTTTTACTGTAAAATAGCATTGTATCTGGTCAAACACACATTTTTCCAAAAGTTTACTAAGGGTTGGTAACAGGCTGATTACTGGCTCAAATAGCCAACCATTATTCTTGGGTAGTGGAATTACTTTTTCTTCCCTCCAGGCCTGAGGGCACACACTTTCTAGTAGGCTTAGATTGAAGATATGGCAAATAGTAGTGGCAATATTGTCCGCTATTATCCTCAGTAATTTTCCATCCAAGTTGTCAGACCCCGGTGGCTTGTCATTGTTGATAGACTACAATAATCTTTTCACGTCTTCCACACTCACTTTACGGAATTCAAAATTACAATGCTTGTCTTTCATAATTTGATCAGTTATACTTTGATGTGTAGTGCCAGTGTTTGTTGCTGGCATGTCATGCCTAAATTAGCTAATTTTGCCAATGAAAATAGTATTAAAGTAATTGCCAATATCAGTGGGTTTTGTGATGAATGAGCCATCTGATTCAATGAATGTTTGAGCTAAGTTTGCCTTTTTGCCCAAAATTTCATTTAAGGTGCTCCAAAGCTTTTTACTATCATTCTTTATATAATTTATCTTTGTTTCATAGTATAGCTTCTTATTGTTTTTATTTAGTTTAAACACATGATTTCTCAATTTGCAGTATGTTTGCCAATCGGTTGTGCAGCCATACTTATTTGCCATTCCTTTTGCCTCATCCCTCTCAACCATCCAATTTTTAAATTCCTCAACAATCCACAGGGATTTAACAGTTTTTACAGTCATTTTCTAATGGGTGAGTGCTTATTAGCAACTGAAATAAGCAATTTCATAAATGTGTCAAGTGCAGCGTCTGGTTTCTCCTCATTACACACCACAGACCAACAAATATTCTTTACATGAACAACATAGGAATCGCTACAAAACTTTTTGTATGACCTCTTATACACTATATTAGGCCCAGCCTTTGAAACTTTGGTTTTCCTAGATATGGCTACTATATTGTGATCACTACATCCAATTGAATTGGATACTGCTTTAAAGCAAATTTCTGCAGCATTAGTAAAGATGTGATCAATAAATGTTGATGATTTCATTCCCATGCTGTTTGTAACTACGCTGGTAGGTTGACTGATAACCTGAACCAGGTTGCAGGCACTGGTTACAGTTTGAAGCTTTTTCTTGATTGGACAGCTTGATGACAGCCAGTCAATATTTAAATCACCCAGAAAATATACCTCTCTGTTGATATCACATACATTATCAAGCATTTCACACGTTATCCAGATACTGACTGTTAGCACTTGGTGGTCTATAGCAGCTTCCCACAATAATGGGCTTTAGGTGAGGCAGATGAACCTGTAGCCATATTACTTAAACAGTATTTAACATGAGATCCTCTCTAAGCTTTACAGGAATGTGGTTCTGAATATAAACAGCATTGGCATTTCTGTATTTTCTGTATTGTTACCACTGTATCATCAAAGGTATTATCTAAGTGAGTTTCAGAGATAGTCAGAATATAAATGTCATCTGTTACTAGCAAGTTATTGATTTCATGAACCTTGTTTCTTAAGCTACATATGTTAACATGGGCAATTTCTTCATTGCTTTATTGGGAAGCATAGCAGAAGTAAACATGCTCATGTTATTTATGTTAGTGCAGGGTGAGCTGCACATAGTGGACTTCCTACTAGGGCACACCGCCTCAGTGCTAACAGTATAACTCTGGTTCATAGACACTTGATTACTGCATACAATAGCTGTAGGATCAGCAGTGGCATTCAGGGCAGTTAGAGGGACATAAATTATGTTACTTACATTATGTCTATCAACACCCCTGGGATAATGTACATTTGCTAAAGAATTATGACAAGTCAGCGACACAATAGTAGGGATTAACTGAGTTGGGCTTGGGTCATTGATATGTCAGTCTCAACACAGCCTTATAATGCTGTGAAATGATCCAAGAATCCAAATTATTCGGGTGGATCCCATCCTATACATAAAATGTGTTTTGTTTCCAAAAGGTATCGAAATTGTCAACAAAAGTTACACCCATCGAGCTGTAATAATCATGTAGCCAGTTGTGAAGAGAAAGAATTCTGCTAAAGCATTCAATGCAACAATTCAGAGAGGGCACAGGGCCAGATATTATAAGTATTTTATTAGTGTCTAGCAGAGAATCAATCAGCCATTTAAAATCCAGTTTCAACTGTTCAGAGCTGCACTTCATAATGTCATTAAAACCCACATGGACTATGATAGAATAGATTTCCATGTCCTGGTGTAGAACATTCAGTAGCAGCTTAGTAATGTCATTTACTCGAACTCCTGGATAGGACAGTGTTTTTGCACCAGGAGCCAGTGACATTTCTTACCATGGAGTTGCCCAAAATCACGGCTGGCGAGAAGGACAAGGAAATCTTCCCACTCCCCGCTTCACAGGATTTTGAGAACCCTTTAAGGACAGGCGAGATGCAGGATAACTTGAGCCCGTAGCTCCCAGCGCAGGCCTCCGACAGATGGAGAAGCCCAGCTTGATTCAGAGCATGGACGGAAGGTTGTCGACGTCGACTTCGAAATCATAGGGGAAGGAGTAGGCACAGCGGCCGCAGACACAGGTACCCTCAGCGACGAAGGTACAGGAAGTTCAGGCTCCAAGGCAGCGAAACTATTAGTTGTTTGTATCTGCTCCAGGCCTCTCGTTGGCAGTGTATCCTGCTTTGCGGGAGGCCGCTGTCTTCGGCTTCCACGGCTTGTGACATGTGACCATCATTGATTGGCATGGTCCTCTTGCTGTGCTCCTTCGACTCCGCTATCAGACGGGAGAGGAGAGAAGGGAGATGCTCCCCTGGTGAACAAACTCCGGGTAACACCGGCCAGTCAGACAACGACAAACGGCAAGGTGGAGATGCATCCAACAAGCGCGAACGCTTTCCAGCCACCGGTGTAGAAAAGGTAAACATTCCACTCTACGTTTTCCCCAGTTTCTTACATAGACTGGCGACCTGCTTGATCAAGGAAGCCACTTCAATTCTATAATCCTCGGCAAGCAAACAATTGCCACATTGGAACTCCGAGTGATCCAGTTTGTCCCGAAACAAAGCGTAGTAGATACAGGAACCGTTCATTTACTTCTCCAGACAAAAAGGGCTCCATTGCAAAACTCAACTTGGACTAACTTCGTTAGCTTGATGGCTAGCAGCTTAGCTAGCTAAGGTTAGCGTCTCTGCTAAGCAGGCTTCAACCTGTCTGTTAAGCCAATATCCAGCAATTGAAGAGGAGTGGGACAACATTCCATAGGCCACAATCAACAGCCTGATCAACTCGATGGGCTGCATGAGGCAAATGGTGGTCACACCAGATACAGACTTTTTTTGATCCACGCCCCTACCTTTTTTTAAGGTACAGTATATGTGGTCAACAGATGCATATTTGTATTCCCAGTCATGTGAAATCCATAGATTAGGGCCTAATTAATTTATTTCAATTGACTGATTTTCTTATATGAACTGTAACTCAGTAAAATCTTTGAAATTGTTGCTTGTTGAGTTTACACTGTTCAGTGTATATTGTATTGTATATCTCTATTGAGCAGACACATAGACTGAACAATAAAAACAACAAACCCTCTTGAGTCATGAACTTTGGTTTGTTTACTTGAAATAATACTGTAACAGTATATCCTTTTTTTCTCAAATAAGTCTATTTTTGAGAAATGCCTATTTTTCTACATGGTTACCTTTTAGACCTGACTTTGTCTTGTGCTTGTTACGTAACAGACAGAAAAGTATTACACTACACTTTCTGTTTCATAAGTCTTGACTAGTTTCCCCTGAAGACACTCCTGTGTACATATCACAAATTAAATCGACCAGCTCTTACCATGCAGTCATGCATGATCTTATTCCAGTCTTCCCCAGTGACGATACGGAACAGAACAGTGATGGCCTTGCCCGCCGTGGAGAAGTTGGCATGCCTGTCATTGAGAAAAAATTTAAACAAATAAAGTAGCACACACACACATACTTTTGAGAGAATGCATCATCAGTGTGGCTGCAGACTTCTCAAACTGCCACTATTTCTCCACTAGATGAGGCTGTGATGGCACTACAAATCTAATAAGTGACACTTGCTCTTCAAATCTCTACAGTAATCAGAGAGGTTACCATGAGGAAGATAGGAGAAATGATGATGTGAAAGGAGAATGAGAGGGGAGCAGAGTCAGGGAAATGAAAGGAGAGGAGAATGGAGAAAGGTAAAAAGGAGGAAAGGAAGGAGGAAGATGAGGAGGAGTGGGAAGAAGAGTAGAAGGTAGGAAAGAGACAGAGGAGGACAGGGAATAAGTGTGTAAGAGGTAGAAAAGGGGATCAAAAAGGAGAGGAAAGAAAGAGGAATGAACCTCTCACCTGTTGATGTTCTCTCCGTATTTGACGGTTCCGAAGAGGACGACTCCGGCGAAGGCGTAGCAGAGGAGGAGGAGGAACATTCCCACGATGATGAAGAAGCTTTTATACATACTGACCACGACTGTCAGCAGTAGCATCTTCAGAGTCACCTACACACAGATTATATATTTAAAGAGACCACCCAGCGGGCAAAATGGTCGCAAGAGTTTTGTTAACCTCTTTTTAGAAACCGGCAAAATACTTCAAAAAACAGAGGTTGTAACAGATGGTTGTAATTACTTTATATGACATATTCAACCAGAAAAACAGTTTACAACTCTAAATAGTTTTTTTGCCTGCTGGGAAAGCTAGTAAATAGGGAAAACATATTTTTTACAGTTTTGTTCAGTAATATGCACTGAAAGTTCCATTAGGCTTACAGTAGGCTATACTTACATGCTTCCCACAGATGGTGAAGAACCTGAAGACGATCACACAGGTGCCCATCATGTAAGTGTAGGCATTCTACAGGAGGAGAGAACACTGTGGTCAGCCATTTACTAATTATACACTAATCTTCACTATATATTTAGTCATCACTCAAAAGAAGTACAGAATAGTTGTTAGCCTGATAGCCCACTGTTAGAAAATGCACTAGTTCCAGGAAAGAACAAGTGTTGTAAAGAATACCTTGTATATCTGTATTTATACTGTGTGTCTGTGTCTGTGTGTGTGTCCTCACCAGTAGAGCAAAGTGCAGGACTATCCAGATGACTCCCAGTATTGTCACCAGTAAATCATAGCGATTCCGTCTGCTCTGCCAGTACCCCGCCGGGGACATAGCTATGAACTTCATCGTCACCTGGTTACCACGACAACAAAATCCATCTGTCTTGTAGTCACATTGCTTTTATAATACTGTACATTTGTCACACAGGGCAATCCTGCCTTGAGATCCATGTGCATAGTGTTCCATGCAAATTTCCTATTGACATCTACCCAGACTCTTACCTCTAACACAAAGATAATGGTGAAGACCACTGACATGGTAGCAAGAGGCATTGTTACTGGGTCATCGACGTCCCACTGAAACACAAACATTTCACAGAAAAGCTGATGTTCAGTACAATCCAGCACCACTCTTAAATCTCCCCCTTTTAGCTAAACATAACTGATAGTATATGTAGTGATTCACTGATTGAAATGCATAACATTTGAGAAGTCACTTAAAATACACTGAATTGCACACACTTTTGCCCTCAGAACAGCCTCAATTCGTCAGGCTTGGACACTACTAGGTGTCGAAAGCGCTCCACAGGGATGCTGGCCCATGTTGACTCCAATGCTTCCAACAGTTGTGTCAAGATGGCTGGATGTCCTTTGGGTGGTGGACCATTCTTGATACACACGGGAAACTGTTGACTGTGAAAAACTCAGTAGCGTTGTAGTTCTTGACGCAAACTGGTGTAGCTGGCACCAAATACCATACCCTGTTCAAAGGCACTTAAATATTTTGTCTTGCCCATTCACCCTCTAAATGGCACACATACACAATCCATGTCTCAATTTTCTCAAGGCTTAAAAATCCTTCTTTAACCTGTCTCCTCCCTTTCATCTACACTGATTGAAGTGGAATTAACAAGTGACATCAATAAGGGATCATAGCTTTCACCTGGATTCACCTGGTCAGTCTATGTCATGGAAAGAGCAGGTTTTCCTAATGTTTTGTACACTCTGTGTAGATGCCCTTTTTTAAAATATTGATTTCGAATTTCAGAATTGACTGACTTCAATTTGAATTGATTGCAACCGTGATTTTCACTGTATTACGTCGGGCCGTGGGGTCCGGGCCAATTCTGTGAAATTGCGGGTGGGTGTGTGTAAGAAAATAGTTGAGCAGCACATCACTAGTAGATAGCTAGATAATGAATGTCTAAACTACCGGTCAAAAGTTTTAGAACACCTACTCATTCAAGGGTTTTTCTTTATTTCTTACTATTTTCTACATTGTAGTATAATAGTGAAGACATCAAAACTATGAAATAACATATATGGAATCATGTAGTAACCAAAAAAAGTATTAAACTGTCACGATCGTTCATGAACAAAACAAGAAACAATGTAACGTGAAGTCCTCAGGCTATACAAATACAAGCCTACACACGGAACAAGATCCCACAACTAAGGTAGGCAAAAAGGCTACTTAAGTATGAACCCCAATCAGAGACATCGAGCGACAGCTGTCTCTAATTGGGAATCACACCCGGCCAAACATAGAAATACAATACCTAGAACAAAAACATAGAATTTCTAGCATAGAACCTCACGCCCTGACCTTGAGAGGCCTGTTGTCTTTAGTTGGTTTGGTCAGGGCGTACTCCGGCCGCACCAACCTGACTCATTAGGGGAGGATCCGGGTGGGCTTTCAGCCTCGGAGGCGGATCCGGCTCCGGGCGTGACGACCTCTTCCTCTCTGCCTCCCCGTTGCGCCCCTGGTCTGGTCTGGACCTTGGCGCGATGCTTCCCCTCTCCTTCCTCCCACGATGCACCAAGCCCTGTCTGGAGCCTGGTGTGGGAGACCCCGAACCTGGAGAGGGGCTGACGTCTGGGCCTGGATCAGCAATCCCCCCACGATGCACCAAGCCCTGTCTGGACCCTGGTGTGGGAGACCCCGAACCTGGAGAGGGGCTGACAACTGGGCCTGGATCGGCAATCCCCCCACGATGCACCAAGCCCTGTCTGGACCCTGGTGTGGGAGGCCCCGACCCTGGAGAGGGGTTGACTTCTGGGTCTGAAGTGGAGTCACTGACCGGAGCTGAACTGGACCCCGGTGGAGCGGACTGCTCTGGCTCCGGAGTGGAACCGCTGACCGGAGCTGGCCTGGAAACCGGTGGAGCGGACTGCTCTTTCTCCGGAATGGATCCGCTGACTGGAGCTGGACTGGGCACCGGTGGAACGAACTGCTCTGGCTCCGGAGTGGAGCCGCTGACCGGAGCTGGACTAGACCCGGTGGAATGGACTGCTCTGGCTCCGGAGTGGAGCAGCTGACCGGAGCTGGATCAGGCACCGGTGGAGCGGATTGCTCTGGCTCCGGAGTGGAGCCGCTGACCGGAGCTGGACTGGACCCCGGTGGAGCGGACTGCTCTGGCTCCGGAGTGGAGCAGCTGACCGGAGCTGGACTGGACCCCGGTGGAGCGGACTGCTCTGGCTCTGGAGTGGAGCAACCGACCGGAGCTGGACTGGACCCCGGTGGAGCGGACTGCTCTGGCTCCGGAGTGGAGCAACCGACCGGAGCCGGATCAGGCACCGGTGGAGCAGGCCGGGCCGGACTGGGGACACGCACCACTGGTCTGGTGCGAGGAGCAGGCACGGGCCGTACCGGACTGGGGACACGCACCACTGGTCTGGTGCGAGGAGCAGGCACGGGCCGTACTGGACTGGGAACACGCACCACTGGCTTGGTGCGAGGTGCAGGCACGGGCCGGGCCGGACTGGGAACACGCACCACTGGCCTGGTGCGAGGAGCAGGGACGGGCCGTACTGGACTGGGAACACGCACCACTGGCTTGGTGCGGGGAGCAGGTACGGGGCGTACCGGGCTGGAGACACGCACCACTGGTTTGTTGCGAGGAGCAGGGACAGGCCGTACCGGACTGGGGACACGCACCACAGGTCTGGTGCGAGGAGCAGGAACGGATCTTACCGGACTTGGAGCACGCACCACTGGCTTGGTGCGAGAAGCAGGCACAAGGCGTTCCGGACTGGGAACCGGCGCTGGAGGTCTACGACTGTACCGATGGCACCGGTGGAGCGGATTACTCTGGCTCCGGAGTGGAGCCGCTGACCGGAGCTGGACTGGACCCCGGTGGAGCGGACTGCTCTGGCTCCGGAGTGGAGCAGCTGACCGGAGCTGGATTTGGCACCGGTGGAGCGGATTGCTCTGGCTCCGGAATGGAGCCGCTGACCGGAGCTGAACTGGACCCCGGTGGAGCGGACTGCTCTGACTCCGGAGTGGAGCCGCGGACCGGAGCTGGACTGGGTACCGGTGGAGCGGACTGCTCTGGCTCCGGAGTGGAGCCGCTGACCGGAGCTGGATCAGGCACCGGTGGAGCGGATTGCTCTGGCTCCGGAATGGAGCCGCTGACCGGAGCTGAACTGGATCCCGGTGGAGCAGACTGCTCTGACTCCGGAGTGGAGCCGCTGACCGGAGCTGGAATAGGCACCGGTGGAGCGGACTGCTCTGGCTCCGGAGTGGATCCGCTGACCGGAGCTGGATCGGGCACCGGTGGAGCGGATTGCTCTGGCTCCGGAGTGGAGCCGCTGACCAGAGCTGGACTGGGCACCAGTGTAGCGGACTGCTCAGGCTCCGGAGTGGAGCAGCTGACCGGAGCTGGATCAGGCACCGGTAGAGCGGATTGCTCTGGACCGTACTGGACTGGGAACACGCACCACTGGCTTGGTGCGGGGAGCAGGTACGGGGCGTACCGGGCTGGCGACACGCACCACTGGTTTGTTGCGAGGAGCAGGGACAGGCCGTACCGGACTGGGGACACGCACCACAGGTCTGGTGCGAGGAGCAGGAACGGATCTTACCGGACTGGGAGCACGCACCACTGGCTTGGTGCGAGAAGCAGGCACAAGGCGTTCCGGACTGGGAACCGGCGCTGGAGGTCTACGACTGTACCAGTCCTTTACTCTCCGCGCCCTATCTTCCTCCAGTGAGGACTCCTCCGGGAGCCCCCACGAGTTAGGGAACAGAAACTCATCGTCGTTGTTATCCTCCGACTCCTCAGTATAAAACTGTTCCCATTCCTGTTCCCATGGTCGTAGGGACTCAAACTGGAAACCCACCGGGTGCAGTGGTCAGGGTTCTTGGGGCTGCCTCTCGGGCTTCCTCCTCGGCCGAGTCCTTTTGGGTTGCCGTTTCTCCTCTCCTGCCTGGGCTTCCTCCTTCGCCCAGGGTCCTTTACCCGCAAACATCTCCTCTCAAGACCACATCTTCCCCACCTGTGTCCAGGGTGTTTGCTCCTCCTGGGCACGCTGCTTGGTCCGTTGGTGGTGGGATCTTCTGTCACGCTCGTTGAGAGATGGGTCAGACCAAGGTGCAGCGTGGTATGAGAACATGTTTATAAAACATAAACAAACAAGAAACAACGTAACGTGAAGTCCTCAGGCTATACAAATACAAGCCTACACACGGAACAAGACCCCACAACTAAGGTAGGCAAACAGGCTACTTAAGTATGATCCCCAATCAGAGACAACAAGCGACAGCTGTCTCTGATTGGGAATCACACCCGGCCAAACATAGAAATACAATACCTAGAACAAAAACATAGAATTTCTAGCATAGAATCTCACGCCCTGACCAAACCAACTAAAGACAACATGCCTCTCAAGGTCAGGGCGTGACATAAACAAATCAAAATATATTTTATATTTCAGATTTTTCAAATAGCCACCCATTGCCTTGATGACAGCTTTGCACACTCTTGGCATTCTCTCAACCAGCTTCACCTTGAATGCTTTTCCAACAGTCTTGAAGGAGTTCCAACATATGCTGAGCACTTGTTGGCTGCTTTTCCTTCACTCTGCGGTCCGACTGATCCCAAACCATCTCAATTTGGTTGAGGTCGGAGGATTGTGAAGGCCAGGTCATCTGATGCAGCACTCCACTCGCCTTCTTGATCAAATAGCCCTTACACAGCCTGGAGGTGTGTTGGGTCAATGTCCTGTTGAAAAACAAATGATAGTCCCACTAAGCCCAAACCAGATGGGATGGCGTATCGCTGCAGAATGCGAAGTGTGCCTTGAATTCTAAACAAATTACAGAGAGTGTCACCAGCAAAGCACCCACACACCATAACAGCTCCTCCTCCATGCTTTACGGTGGGATATACACATGCAGAGATAATCCGTTCACCCACACCGCGTCTCATAAAGACACGGCAGTTGGAACCAAAAATCTCAAATTTGGACTCCAGACCAAAGAACAAATTTCCACCGGTCCATTGCTTGTGTTTCTATTTTAATATTGCAGATAGATTGTAACTTCCATCAATGTAATTGTCTGCATCAATTCCAATCCCCCATATGTTTTTTTTTTCCGCAAATACATATCACTTTGTCATGCTGATTGAGTTAGAATAACAGACTGGAAGCTTTAAAAGGAGGGTGGTGCTTGAAATCATTGTTCTTCCTCTGCTAACCATGGTTACCTGCAAGGAAACACGTGCCTTCATCAGTGCTTTGCACAAAAAGTGCTTCACAGGTAAGGATATTGCTGCTAGTAAGATTGCACCTAAATCAACCATTTATCGGATCATCAAGAACTTCAATGAGAGAGGTTCAATTGTTGTGTAGAAGGCTTCAGGGCGCCCAAGAAAGTCCAGCAAGCGCCAGGACCGTCTCCTAAAGTTTATTCAGCTGCGGGATCGAGGCACCACCAGTGCAGAGCTTGCTCAGGAATGGCAGCAGGCAGGTGTGTGCATCTGCACGCACAGTGAGGCGAAGACCTTTAGAGGATGGCCTGGTGTCAAGAAGGGCAGCGAGGAAGACACTTCTCTCCAGGAAAAACATCAGGGACAGCCTGATATTCTACAAAAGGAACAGGGATTGGACTGCTGAGGACTGGGGTAAAGTCCTTTTCTCTGATTAATCCCCTTTCCGATTGATTGGGGCATCCGGACAAAAGCTTGTCCGGAGAAGACAAGGTGAGCGCTACTATCAGTCCTGTTTCATGCCAACAGTAAAGCATCTTGAGACCATTCATGTGTGGGGTTGCTTCTCAGCCAAGGGAGTGGGCTCACTCACAATTTTGCCTAAGAACACAGCCATGAATAAAGAATGCTACCAACACATCCTCCAAGAGCAACTTCTCCCAACCATCCAAGAACAGTTTGGTGAAACAAAGTCAACACTGCAGCCATTGCTAGCTAGCCAACACTACCAGCTAGCAGTACTGTAGCAACTAAATACAATATCCTTTTAGCCAGCTACATTCGTTCGCAGCGACGCCGTTTTTCAAACAAAGTCATCACCGCAGCCATTGCTAGCTAGCCAACGCTACCAGCTAGCAGTACTGTAACAACTAAATACAATATAATTTTAGCCAGCTACATTCGTTCGCAGCGACGCCGTTTTTCAAACAAAGTCAACAGAGCAGCCATTGCTAGCTAGCCAACACTACCAGCTAGCAGTACTGTAGCAGCTAAATACAATATAATTTTTGTCAATGAGAATTTTGCAACATAAAGCTTCCCTTTCTGAACATTCGAGATGTGTAGTCCACTTGTGTAGCTAGCATGACTGACTTTGTGCTAGCTAGCCAACGTTTAATTATTGCTGCGTTATGAAAGGAACTAGACACAGACACAAATTATCTGTTTAGTGTGTTAACACACTATTGGTAGTTTGTTGTAACCAAGTATTGGTGCTAAACCGTGTGTTATTGGATGCTAGCATGCTAGTTAGCTATGGCGTCATAGGATACGGTGCCCTGGGCGGTTTTCATGGAAGAATACTGTACCAAGTTAGCTAGCTGAATAAAGTAAGTTAGAGTCTATTCCTAGAAACATTGAACCGCTGTAGTTTACAACAATTCTAATTTCTAAAGTGGAAGTTGGGAGAGTTATATTCGGGTGTTTCAGTGAAACAATTATAGTTTCTGAGGTGGAAGTTGGGAGAGTTATATTTGGGAGTTGTGGTGAGGGAGGCCCCGCTCTCTCCTTTCCCAGATGTTTAGTTCATTTCATTCCGATCTCCTCTGCATTATTGTAGCCATTTGCTGCAGCCTGTCAACTATGCCTCTGCCTATCCCTGTTCTCTCCTCTCCGCACAGGCTACACAAACGCCTCACACCGCATGGCTGCTGCCTCTCTAACCTGGTGGTCCCTGCACGCACCACACACCTGGAGTTCCAGGTCTCAGGCAGCCTCTGGAACTGCCGTTCTGCTGCCAACAAGGCAGAGTTCATCCCAGCCTATGCTACCCTCCAGTCCCTCGACTTCTTGGCGCTGACGGAAACATGGATTACCACTGAAAACACTGCTACTCCTACTGCTCTCTCCTCGTCTGACCATGTGTTCTCGCATACCCCGAGAGCATCTGGTCAGCGGGGTGGTGGCACAGGAATCCTCATCTCTCCCAAGTGGACATTCTCAATTTTTCCCCTAACCCATCTGTCTATTTCCTCATTTGAAATCCATGCTGTTACAGTCACTAGCCCATTTAAGCTTAATATCCTTGTCATCTATCGCCCTCCAGGTTCCCTTGGAGAGTTCATCAATGAGCTTGACGCCTTGATAAGTTCCTTTCCTGAGGATGGCTCACCCCTCACAGTTTTGGGGGATTTCAACCTCCCTACGTCTACATTTGACTCATTTCTCTCTGCCTCCTTCTTTCCACTCCTCTCCTCTTTTGACCTCACCCTCTCACCGTCCCCCCCTACTCACAAGGCAGGCAATATGCTTGACCTCATCTTTACTAGATGCTGTTCTTCTACTAATCTCACTGCAACTCCCCTCCATGTCTCCGACCACTACTTTGTATCCTTTTCTCTCTCGCTCTCCTCCAACACTACTCACTCTGCCCCTACACAGATGGTAATGCGCCGCCGCAACCTTCACTCTCTCTCTCTCCCGCTACTCTCTCCTCTTCCATCCTATCATCTCTTCCCTCTGCTCAAACCTTCTCCCTCCAATCTCCTGATTCTGCCTCCTCAACCCTCCTCTCCTCCCTTTTTGCATCCTTTGACTCTCTATGTCCCCTATCCTCCCGGCCGGCTCGGTCCTCCCCTCCAGCTCCGTGGCTTGATGACTCATTGCGAGCTCACAGAACAGAGCTCCGGGCAGCTGAGCGGAAATGGAAGAAAACTAGACCCCCTGCGGACCTGGCATCTTTTCACTCCCTCCTCTCTACATTTTCTTCATCTGTTTCTGCTGCTAAGGCCACTTTCTACCACTCTAAATTCCAAGCATCTGCCTCTAACCCTAGGAAGCTCTTTGCCACATTCTCCTCCCTGCTGAATCCCCCCCCCCCCCCCCCCCCTCCTCCCTCTCTGTGGATGGCTTCGTCAACCACTTTGAAAAGAAGGTTGACGACATCCGATCCTCGTTTGTTAAGTCAAATGACACTGCTGGTCCTGCTCACACTGCCCTACCCTATGCTTTGACTTCTTTCTCCCCTCTCTCTCCAGATAAAATCTTGCGACTTGTGACTGCAGGCCGCCCAACAACCTGCCCGCTTGACCCTATCCCCTCCTCTCTTCTCCAGACCATCTCCGGTGACCTTCTCCCCTACCTCACCTCGCTGATCAACTCATCCTTGACCACTGGCTATGTCCCTTCCGTCTTCAAGAGAGCGAGAGTTGCACCCCTTCTCAAAAAACCAACACTCGATCCCTCTGATGTCAACAACTACAGACCAGTATCCCTTCTTTCTTTTCTTTCCAAAACTATTGAGCGTGCCGTCTTTAGCCAACTCTCTTGCTATCTCTCTCAGAATGACCTTCTTGATCCAAACCAGTCAGGTTTCAGGACTGGTCATTCAACTGAGACTGCTCTTCTCTGTGTCACGGAGGCTCTCCGCACTGCTAAAGCTAACTCTCTCTCCTCTGCTCTTGTCCTTCTAGACCTGTCTGCTGCCTTTGATACTGTGAACCATCAGATCCTCCTCTCCACCCTCTCCGAGCTGGGCATCTCCGGCGCGGCTCACTCTTGGATTGCGTCCTAGCTGACCGGTCGCTCCTACCAAGTGACGTGGCGAGAAGCTGTCTCCGCACCACGTGCTCTCACCACTGGTGTCCCCCAGGGCTCAGTTCTAGGCCCTCTCCTATTCTCGCTATACACCAAGTCACTTGGCTCTGTCATATCCTCACATGGCCTCTCCTATCATTGCTACGCTGACGATACACAACTAATCTTCCCTTTCCCCCTTCTGATAACCAGGTGGCGAATCGCATCTCTGCATGTCTGGCAGACATATCAGTATGGATGACGGATCACCACCTCAAGCTGAACCTTGGCAAGACGGAGCTGCTCTTCCTCCCGGGGAAGGACTGCCCGTTCCATGATCTCGCCATCACGGTTGACAACTCCGTTGTGTCCTCCTCCCAGAGTGCGAAGGGCCTTGGCGTGACCCTGGACAACACCCTGTCGTTCTCCGCTAACATCAAGGCGGTGACCCGATCCTGTAGGTTCATGCTCTACAACATTCGGAGAGTACGACCCTGCCTTACACAGGAAGCGGCACAGGTCCTAATCCAGGCACTTGTCATCTCCCGTCTGGATTACTGCAACTCGCTGTTGGCTGGGCTCCCTGCCTGTGCCATTAAACCCCTACAACTCATCCAGAATGCCGCAGCCCGTCTGGTGTTCAACCTTCCCAAGTTCTCTCACGTCACCCCGCTCCTCCGCACACTCCACTGGCTTCCAGTTGAAGCTCGCATCTGTTACAAGACCATGGTGCTTGCCTATGGAGCTGTGAGGGGAACGGCACCTCCGTACCTTCAGGCTCTGATCAGTCCCTACACCCAAACGAGGGCATTGCGTTCATCCACCTCTGGCCTGCTGGCTCCCCTTCCTCTGCGGAAGCATAGTTCCCGCTCAGCCCAGTCAAAACTGTTCGCTGCTCTGGCACCCCAATGGTGGAACAAGCTCCCTCACGACGCCAGGACAGCGGAGTCACTCACCACCTTCCGGAGACATTTGAAACCCCACCTCTTTAAGGAATACCTGGGATAGGATAAAGTCATCCTTCACCCCCCCCCCCCCCCCCCAAAAAATAAAACCCCAACAACAACAAAAAAAACAATAAAAAAACAACAATTGTAAAGTGGTTATCCCACTGGCTATAGGGTGAATGCACCAATTTGTAAGTCGCTCTGGATAAGAGCGTCTGCTAAATGACGTAAATGTAAATGTAATGTAAATGTGATGAACAATGCCTTTTCCAGCATGATGCAGCACCTTGCCAATAGGCAAAAGTGATAACTAAGTGGCTCGGGGAACAAAACATCAACATTTTGGGTCCATGGCCAGGAAACTCCCCAGACCTTAATCCCATTGAGAACTTGTGGTCAATCCTCAAGAGGCGGGTGGACAAACAAAAACCCACAAATTCTGACAAACTCCAAGCATTGATTATGCAAGAATTGGCTGCCATCAGTCAGGATGTGGCTCAGAAGTTAATTGACAGCATGCCAGGGCGGATTGCAGAGGTCTTGAAAAAGAAGGGTCAACACTGCAAATATTGACTATTTGCATAAACTTTATATAATTGTCAATAAAAGCCTTTGACACTCATGGAATGCTTGTAATTATACTTCAGTATACCATAGTAACATTTGACAAAAATATCAAAAAAAAACTGAAGCAGCAAACTTTGTGAAGACAAATACTCAAAACTTTTGACCACAACTGTAGTTTGAGAAACAGACACCTCACAGATTCTCAACTGGCAGCATCATTAAATAGAGGTGACTCCGGGATGCTGACCTTCTAAGCAGAGTTGCAAAGAAAAAGCCATATCTCAGACTGGCCAATAAAAATAAAAGATTAAGATGGGCAGTCTGAGATATAGCTTTTTCTTTGCAACTCTGCCTAGAAGGTCAGCATGCCGGAGTCGCCTCTTCACTGTTGACGTTGAGACCGGTGTTTTGCGGGTACTATTTAATTTTACCCTCAACCTCTCTGATCATTTTCATGATGTCCATCCAGTTTGCCTCCACATGCCATATCCCCCAAACTGTGCAAATTGAAAATAATTGTTTTTTGCTAAAAGTATTATTATATTATTGATCGATTGACTATGACTTTTCAGATCACCCAGGAGTGCTATCTGCAGGGTTAGCTCCAGGTAAATATTGCAATCCTTCAGCCATTCCTGGACTTGTGACCAAAACAAGCTACAAATGGACAGTACCAAAACAAATGATCTAATGATTCTGTCTCTTCGCAGCAAAATCTGCAGCGCTGGGAAGATTGTATCCCCCATATGTGTTTATTGACCCAAGCAAGTCTCTTCTTCTTATTGGTGTCCTTTAGTAGTGGTTTCTTTGCAGCAATTCGACCATGAAGGCCTGCTTCACACAGTCTCCTCTGAACAGTTGATGTTGAGATCTGTCTGTTACTTGAACTCTGTGAAACATTTATTAGGGCTGCAATCTGAGGTGCAGTTAACTCTAATGACCTTATCCTCTGCAGCAGAGGTACAGTGGGGAAAAATGTATTTAGTCAGCCACCAATTGTGCAAGTTCTCCCACTTAAAAAGATGAGAGAGGCCTGTAATTTTCATCATAGGTACACGTCAACTATGACAGACAAATTGAGATTTTTTTTCTCCAGAAAATCACATTGTAGGATTTTTAATGAATGTATTTGCAAATTATGGTGGAAAATAAGTATTTGGTCAATAACAAAAGTTTCTCAATACTTTGTTATATACCCTTTGTTGGCAATGACACAGGTCAAACGTTTTCTGTAAGTCTTCACAAGGTTTTCACACACTGTTGCTGGTATTTTGGCCCATTCCTCCATGCAGATCTCCTCTAGAGCAGTGATGTTTTGGGGCTGTCGCTGGGCAACACGGACTTTCAACTCCCTCCAAAGATTTTCTATGGGGTTGAGATCTGGAGACTGGCTAGGCCACTCCAGGACCTTGAAATGCTTCTTACGAAGCCACTCCTTCGTTGCCCGGGCGGTGAGTTTGGGATCATTGTCATGCCGAAAGACCCAGCCACGTTTCATCTTCAATGCCCTTGCTGATGGAAGGAGGTTTTCACTCAAAATCTCACGATACATGGCCCCATTCATTCTTTCCTTTACACGGATCAGTCGTCCTGGTCTCTTTGCAGAAAAACAGCCCCAAAGCATGATGTTTCCACCCCCATGCTTCACAGTAGGTATGGTGTTCTTTGGATGCAACTCAGCATTATTTGTCCTCCAAACACGACGAGTTGAGTTTTTACCAAAAAGTTATATTTTGGTTTCATCTGACCATATGACATTCTCCCAATCCTCTTCTGGATCATCCAAATGCACTCTAGCAAACTTCAGATGGGCCTGGACATGTACTGGCTTAAGCAGGGGGATACGTCTGGCACTGCAGGATTTGAGTCCCTGGCGGCGTAGTGTGTTACTGATGGTAGGCTTTGTTACTTTGGTCCCAGCTCTCTGCAGGTCATTCACTAGGTCCCCCTGTGTGGTTCTGGGATTTTTGCTCACCGTTCTTGTGATCATTTTGACCCCACGGGGTGAGATCTTGCGTGGAGCCCCAGATCGAGGGAGATTATTAGTGGTCTTGTATGTCTTCCATTTCCTAATAATTGCTCCCACAGTTGATTTCTTAAAACCAAGCTGCTTACCTATTGCAGATTCAGTCTTCCCAGCCTGGTGCAGGTCTACAATTTAGTTTCTGGTGTCCTTTGACAGCTCTTTGGTCTTGGCCATAGTGGAGTTTGGAGTGTGACTGTTTGAGGTTGTGGACAGGTGTCTTTTATACTGATAACAAGTTCAAACAGGTGCCATTAATACAGGTAACCAGTGGAGGACAGAGGAGCCTCTTAAAGGAGAAGTTACAGGTCTGTGAGCGCCAGAAATCTTGCTTGTTTGTAGGTGACCAAATACTTATTTTCCACCATAATTTGCAAATAAATTCATAAACAATCCTCCAATGTGATTTTCTGGATTTTTTTTCTCATTTTGTCTGTCATAGTTGACGTGTACCTATGATGAAAATTACAGGCCTCTAATCTTTTTAAGTGGTAGAACTTGCACAATTGGTGGCTGACTAAATACTTTTTTCCCCCACTGTAACTCTGGGTCTTCCATTCCTGTGGTGGTCCTCATGAGAGCCAGTTTCATCCTTGCACTGATGGTTTTTGCAACTGCAAATGTTCCGTATTGACTGACCTTTATGTCTTAAAGTAATGATGGACTGTCGTTTCTCTTTGCTTATTTGAGCTGTTCTTGCCATAATATGGACTTGGTCTTTTACCAAATAGGGCTATCTTCTGTATACCTTGTCACAACACAACTGATCAGGTTCAAAAGCATTTAGAAGGAAAGACATTTAACAAATTAACTTTTAAGAAGGCACACCTGTTAATTGAAATGCATTTCAGGTGACTACCTCATGAAGCTGGTTGAGAGAATTCCAAGAGTGTGCAAAGCTGTCATCAAGGCAAAGGGTCGCTATTTGACGAATCTCAAATATAAAATATATTTTGATTTGTTTAACACTTTCATAGTTTTGATGTCTTCCCTATTATTCTACAATGTAAAACATTGTAAAAAATTAAGAAAAACCCTTGAATGAGTAGGTGTTCTGAAACTTTTGACCGGTAGTGTATATCAGACAGCCTTACCTTGACAGACAGCAGCACTGACTGGGCCAAGACCAGCACAGCGATACCCCGTTTGAAGAAGGGGTGCTGAGTGATGTCATACATCTTGGCACGGAACCCTGCATTCTCTGAAGGGGGAGAGAGGAGTGAGGATCAACACCAGACCAGACCCAACCAGAAGGGTGAATCCCAATAGACTAAATCTTCATCACCTTTCCTTAGGAGATGATGATGCTTTCCACTATAGATGGAATGTTTTCTAGACCTGAGCCACATTCAGTAAGCCAACATGGAACATTGTGGAACATTGTAGATAGACATGTCATGAATAAAACTGGCATGCTTCCTTATTATATATGTCAGAGAAGCATATTTGCTCTACAGTATGTATTTCTATCTCAACATTCCACAATGTTGTGCACTGCTGAACCCAAGTGCTTCCATCCATTTCACTGATTCAATTAGTCAGAGAACACAGAAATCAGGGAGATTGCCTATGTTTATTTTGGACTATAAAGTTATTATGGCTAGTCAGTTGCTGGCACACACGCGCATGGCCATGCATCCTGGCTCAGTCACACATGCATGCAAGCACACACGCACACACACAAATAGCTCAGTATTTCTCTATGTGCGAGTCAGATTATGTCCTCCTTACCTTACCCGTTTCTATCCAGTATGACAAATAACATCCTACGACCGGCGACTTATCAACTTTTACAGCCAGCAATAATATTACACTTGATTGTACACATAAGTCTAAGTCTCCCTTCTTGGAAACCAACAAAAATCTCAAAATTGGATTCAGGGCTGCAATGAAGAGAAATCTTTTCAATCTTCTTGGAATAAGATCTACAGCTTGTCAGTAGAGATCTTATCTCAGTTAATTGAAAAATATGTGTCTCATATGCAGGGTCAGATTAAGAAATCATAGGTCCCTTCCCGTCACACCATCATTTTTTGTGAACAAATCCGGGCACAAAGATGGAATTCAATGCGTGGTAAATTTACTGTTGAAGAAAAAGCCCCTTTATAATAAAGCCATAATAACATTTGCGATGTGGCATACGCTACAGTTGAGCAGAGGCGTTTTTAGGACTTCCACATATGAAGACGATTTTTGAACATTGAGACCGGGCTCCTGTGGAAAATAAAATAAAATAAATAATGTTATTTTTTTTTGCCTGTTGGGCCCAGCCCCTGACTCACACAATGGACCAGTAACATCAATGTATTATGCAGTTTATAAAAAAAAAATATATATATATATAAAGTATTCAGACCCCTTGACTTCTTCCACATTTTGTTATGTTACAGCCTTTTACTAAATGACAAAGCAAAACTGTTTTTTCAAAACTTTTGCCAATAAATAATAAAAAATAAACAAACGGAAATATTCAGACCGTTTATTCAGTACTTTCTTGAAACACCTTTGGCAGTGATTACAGCCTAGAGTCTTCTCCCCCTCCCACAGGAGAGGGAGGGGGAGAAGTTGGCCAATTTTATGACTTAACAATTGGTTGTAAATACTGTGCAGACTTTCTCTTGCTTGCCATGAAGTATTGGGAGAAAGGACTCTTTTGTTAACACAGAGATTCTTCCCACCAAAACTACAACATCCAAAAGTGGATAATGAAACAATATTTCTAACACCAAGCATGTGGGAAATGGTCAGTGGGCACTTAAAGAACAAATCATGTCGAATTCGTTACTATGTTGTGATGTGATTAAAGACGGTGGAACAACATAACTGTATCTCTGGGGGTGTACACTTCCCAGTTGTGAGGTTTGCATCTAATTGTTGTATAAAACGGTTGATTAAGTATAATAATACTTTTGTGAAGATAGCGATGTGATTTTAGCATTCTTGATGCCTGCCCTACCCTATGCTTTGACTTCTTTCTCCCCTCTCTCTCCAGGTGAAATCTTGCGACTTTTGACGGCCGGCCGTTCAACAACCTGCCCGCTTGACCCTATCCCGTCCTCTCTTCTCCAGACTATTTCCGGAGACCTTCTCCCTTACCTCACCTCGCTCATCAACTCATCCTTGTCCGCTGGCTATGTCCCTTCCATCTTCAAGAAAGCGAGAGTTGCACTCCTCCTCAAAAAACCTACACTCGATCCCTCCGATGTCAACAACTACAGACCAGTATCCCTTCTTTCTTTTCTCTCCAAAACTCTTTGAGTGTGCCGTCTATAGCCAACTCTCCTGCTATCTCTCTCAGAATGACCTTCTTGATCCAAACCAGTCAGGTTTCAAGACTGGTCATTCAACTGAGACTGCTCTTCTCTGTGTCATGGAGGCTCTCCGCACTGCTAAAGCTAACTCTCTCTCCTCTGCTCTTATCCTTCTAGACCTATCTGCTGCCTTTGATACTGTGAACCATCAGATCCTCCTCTCCACCCTCTCCGAGTTGGGCATCTCCGGCGCGGCTCACTCTTGGATTGCGTCCTACCTGACAGGTTGCTCCTACCAGGTGGCGTGGCGAGAATCTGTCTCCGCACCACGTGCTCTCACCACTGGTGTCCCCCCAGGGCTCAGTTCTAGGCCCTCTCCTATTCTCTCTAAACACCAAGTCACTTGGCTCTGTCATATCCTCACATGGTCTCTCGTATCATTGCTATGCAGACGACACACAATTAATATTCTCCTTTCCCCCTTCTGATAACCAGGTGGTGAATCGCATCTCTGCATGTCTGGCAGACATATCAGTGTGGATGTCGGATCACCACCTCAAGCTGAACCTCGGCAAGACGGAGCTGCTCTTCCTCCCGGGGAAGGACTGCCCGCTCCATGATCTCGCCATCACGGTTGACAACTCCGTTGTGTCCTCCCAGAGTGCAAAGAACCTTGGTGTGACTCTGGACAACACCCTTTCGTTCTCCGCTAACATCAAATTGGTGACCCGATCCTGTAGGTTCATGCTCTACAACATTCGCAGAGCACGACCCTACCATACACAGGAAGCGGCACAGGTTCTAATCCAGGCACTTGTCATCTCCCGTCTGGATTACTGCAACTCGCTGTTGGCTGGGCTCCCTGCCTGTGCCATTAAACCCCTACACCTCATCCAGAACGCTGCAGCCCGTCTGGTGTTCAACCTTCCCAAGTTCTCTCACGTCACCCCGCTCCTCCGCACACTCCACTGGCTTCCAGTTGGAACGGCACCTCCTTACCTTCAGGCTCTGATCAGTCCCTACACCCAAACAAGGGCATTGCGTTCTTCCACCTCTGGCCTGCTGGTCCCCCTACCTCTGCGGAAGCACAGTTCCCGCTCAGCCCAGTCAAAACTGTTCGCTGCTCTGGCACCCCAATGGTGGAACAAGCTCCCTCACGACGCCAGGACAGCGGAGTCACTGACCACCTTCCGTAGACACTTGAAACCCTACCTCTTTAAGGAATACCTGGGATAGTATAAACCCCACCTACCCCACCCCCACAAAATAATAATAATAATAATAATAATAATAATAATAATAATAATAATAATAATAATAATAATAATAATGAACAAATTACAAAGAAATGAAAAAATTAAATATATATATATATATATATATATATAACACCAATAAAAATAAAGAATATACTCTAAAAATATTTTTTAAATATTAAAAATAACTAAAATATATACAAAAAATAATTGTAAAGTAGTTGTCCCACTGGCTATCATAAGGTGAATGCACCAATTTGTAAGTCGCTCTGGATAAGAGCGTCTGCTAAATGACGTAAATGTAATGTAAATGTTGATGAGATGACTGTTTTCCATATTGACTTGTTCTCAGTCAGTGGCCACGCCCAGATGAGCATAAACATGATGAAAAGCCCCCTTTTCTACTCAAGTATAAAACCCCTCGTGACGAAATTCACACTAGACCAAGCAGACTAAGGTGTAAGCCGGATGTTGAATTTCTACCAGACCAGGAAGCTACACGGCTTAAAATGGTTAGACCAGAAAGACCAGAAAACGTGAGAGTGGCGACTGCACATTTGAAATGGTGAGAAACTCTGAAACTCCCAATCTCTACACAAGAAGAAGAAACTCACTAGACCTTATCATATCATTCTGCAGCTGTACATGTATAGTCGTCTAGAGAACTTTCACTAAAGACAAGAGTTGGGAAGGACAATCCCTCTCCGACAACCGTTGGTACATCTGAAGTAGCTATTCTAACGAACACTCCAGTCGAAGACAAGCCAAGTCTCACCGAAGTGGAACCAGGACACTCAAACCCTTTTTGATAAAGTCGTTCAACAGAGAGACGACGATCAAGGACAGCTACGCGTAAATATATACATTGCATTTCTTATCCGAATGAGCGGTGGTTAGGGTGCTAAGTATTATGATTACTGTGAGCGTAGTTTACAAATGTAACCATGATAGTTTGAATCTCTGTCTCTCCCTTTCACAAACAGACCCCTCCTTCACCTAACCAAGCAGTCATGCTATTGTTAGTCCAGTCCACTATGGACCTGTTTTCATTGTATTACGTTAGTAATCAACAACCTATACTGTGTATGTGTGTTTGTATTCTGTGTTATTATTTAGTTAGTTAGTAAATAAATAATTAAGCCAATTTGTGTATTGCTGATTCATCAATAAGGTTAGGGTTCTTGCAGGTTCAAGGATTATGCGACGTTCAGAATGAGACTGATAAGAGGTAATTATTTAATAAGTGACTTATCGATATATAACATGAATTATATATCTTCTAAGAGTTTAATTCGGGAGATGGTAACTCGTTAAGCAACTTCTTCCTTGGTGCCCCAAATTCCTAATGAGTTAATTGTTACATGATTAATTAATTTAACCCCCCCCCAAAGTCAATACTTTGTAGAGCCACCTTTTGCAGCAATTACAGCTGCAAGTCTCTTGGGGTATGTCTCTATCAGCTTGGCACATCTAGCCACTGGGATTTTTGCCCATTCTCCAAGGCAAAACTGCACCAGCTCCGTCATGTTCAATGGGTTCTGCTGGTGTACAGCAATCTTTAAGTCATACCACAGATTCTCAACTGGATTGAGGTCTGGGCTTTGACTAGGCCATTCCAAGACATTTAAATGTTTCCCCTTAAACCACCCGACTGTTGCTTTAGCAGTATGCTTAGGGTCATTGTCCTGCTGAAAGGTGAACCTCCGTCCCAGTCTCAAATCTCTGGAAGACTGAAACAGGTTTCCCTCAAGAATTTCCCTGTATTTAGCACCATCCATCATTCCTTCAATTCTGACCCGTTTCCCAGTGCTTGCCGATGAAAAACATCCCCATAGCATAATGCTGCCACCACCATGCTTCACTGTGGGGATGATGTTCTCGGGGTGATGAGAGGTGTTGGGTTTGCGCCAAAGATAGCGTTTTCCTTGATGACCAAAAAGCTCATTCACTAAACGTGTTTGCTCATTTTTTACAAAATAATAAAACATATATATTTTTTTATTGCTGCCTCTTGGGTCCCCCACGGGCCTGGGCCCAGAGGCTTCAGGGCCGGGAAGCCCCTTCATTAATCCGGAACCGAAAACCATTTGGCCAAGCGAGACTCCCCTCTACTACTTGAGCTGCACGTTTTGAGTGACCCAGCCCCAGCCAGCCCGAGAAACCCCCCCCCCCCCCTTCCCTAGCCAACACTAACTCAGCAACAGCCCCAGTCCCATTCCTATACTCCAGCCCTATTGTGAAGGTCATTCATAACAGGTGGATGTGAGTACCTGGTAGGCAAGATGATACCTGTATGTACTGTATACCTGAGCCAACACTAGCCCAGCCCCAGCCCCAGTAAACACAAGCCCAGCCCCAGTAAACACTAGCCCAGCCCCAGTAAACACTAGCCCCAGCCCCAGTAACACTAGCCCCAGCAAACACTAGCCCCAGGCCCAGTAAACACTACCCCAGGCCCAGTAAACACTAGCCCCAGCCCCAGTAACACTAGCCCCAGCAAACACTAGCCCCAGGCCCAGTAAACACTAGCCCAGCCCCAGTAAACACTAGCCCAGTCCCAGTAAACACTAGCTCAGCCCCAGTAAACACTAGTCCCAGCCCCAGCAGCCCCAGTAAACACTAGCCCAAGTAAACACAAGCCCAGCCCCAGTAAACACTAGCCCAGCCCCAGTAAACACTAGCCCAGCCCCAGTAAACCCTAGTCCCAGCAAACACTAGCCCCAGCCCCAGTAAATACTAGTTCAGCCCCAGACCCAGTAAACACTAGACCAGCCCCAGTAAACACTAGCCCAGCCCCAGACCCAGTAAACACCAGCCCAGTCCCAGTAAACACTAGCCTAGCCCCAGACCCAGAAAACACTAGCCCAGCCCTTATTCTGCAGCCACAGCCAATGCTAGACCATGCACCAGCCCAGTATAACCCGGCATCTCAATCAATCAATGGATTTTAACAACAAGATTGATCAGTTGCCTCTCTACCGCAATGCTGAGTTTGTAGAATGCAGACACTTCTGAATAGAGAGGAGGAACCGAAAACTATTTGGCCAAGCGAGACTCCCCTCCACTCCCTAACACTGGGTTGAGCTGCACGTTGTGAGTGAGTGTGTGTGTGAGTGAGTAAGTGAGTCAGGCCAGAGCGTAAGGTTTTTGGATGTGGATCAGAGTGGAGATTAACACAGTTCTACCCAGCAGAGCCGCTGACTAAGACTGAACCATTGATTTTCTCTTAGCTCTGGGACTGACTGTACTAACAGGCTGTGTGGTGCCTATTCCCTACACTGCCTCCCATGCACTTCTCCATTAATTCCCCTGTTCTTCTTGTTCTCTTTCCTTCAAATATAAACCTCTGCAATTAAAACAGCATAACAAGCTGTGTAGATCAGTCTCTGTATTACCATGCTGAGGTTGGTACAATCTAACTGGGTACAGGATTTCTTTGTGTCAAAAGGAAGTCACCTAAGCAAAAAGCTGAGTTGTGATGTTCAATTAGATCAGTAGAAGCGATCGATCATTACTATACAGTGGCTTGCGAAAGTATTCACCCCCTTGGCATTTTTCCTATTTTGTTGCCTTACAACCTGGAATTAAAATAGATTTTTGGGGGGTTTGTATTTTTTGATTTACACAACATGCCTACCACTTTGAAGATGCTGTTATGATGACTTGTGATACAAGATTCATTAATGTATGTACAACTCATAAGATGTATGTAAGGGAGAGAGGACAAGGACATGTCATGTGGTATTGGTGTCATGTGTGCCAAGATAGATTGGGGGCCACTGTTGCTAATCTTAGGAGGGGTGCGTGATGGAATGGCCTGGCTAGGGTGCCACACGATACCAAGTAGGTGGATGATATGGATATGGATTTGGATTTATCTAAATATGCTAATTTGGGTAGGAGGTACAGTGGGGAGAACAAGTATTTGATACACTGCCGATTTTGCAGGTTTTCCTACTTACAAAGCATGTAGAGGTCTGTCATTTTTATCATAGGTACACTTCAACTGTGAGAGATGGAATCTAAAACAAAAATCCAGAAAATCACATTGTATGATTTTTAAGTAATTAATTTGCATTTTATTGCATGACATAAGTATTTGATACATCAGAAAAGCAGAACTTAATATTTGCTATAGAAACCTTTGTTTGCAATTACAGAGATCATATGTTTCCTGTAGGTCTTGACCAGGTTTGCACACACTGCAGCAGGGATTTTGGCCCACTCCTCCATACAGACCTTCTCTAGATCCTTCAGGTTTCGGGGCTGTCGCTGGGCAATACGGACTTTCAGCTCCCTCCAAAGATTTTCTATTGGGTTCAGGTCTGGAGACTGGCTAGGCCACTCCAGGACCTTGAGATGCTTCTTACGGAGCCACTCCTTAGTTGCCCTGGCTGTGTGTTTCGGGTCGTTGTCATGCTGGAAGACCCAGCCACGACCCATCTTCAATGCTCTTACTGAGGGAAGGAGGTTGTTGGCCAAGATCTCGCGATACATGGCCCCATCCATCCTCCCCTCAATACGGAGCAGTCGTCCTGTCCCCTTTGCAGAAAAGCATCCCCAAAGAATGATGTTTCCACCTCCATGCTTCACGGTTGGGATGGTGTTCTTGTGGTTGTACTCATCCTTCTTCTTCCTCCAAACACGGTGAGTGGAGTTTAGACCAAAAAGCTCTATTTTTGTCTCATCAGACCACATGACCTTCTCCCATTCCTCCTCTGGATCATCCAGATGGTCATTGGCAAACTTCAGACGGGCCTGGATATGCGCTAGCTTGAGCAGGGGGACCTTGCGTGCGCTGCAGGATTTTAATCCATGACGGCGTAGTGTGTTACTAATGGTTTTCTTTGAGACTGTGGTCCCAGCTCTCTTCAGGTCATTGACCAGGTCCTGCCGTGTAGTTCTGGGCTGATCCCTCACCTTCCTCATGATCATTGGTGCCCCACGAGGTGAGATCTTGCATGGAGCCCCAAACCGAGGGTGATTGACCGTCATCTTGAACTTCTTCCATTTTCTAATAATTGCGCCAACAGTTGTTGCCTTCTCACCAAGCTGCTTGCCTATTGTCCTGTAGCCCATCCCAGCCTTGTGCAGGTCTACAATTTTATCCCTGATGTCCTTACACAGCTCTCTGGTCTTGGCCATTGTGGAGAGGTTGGAGTCCGTTTGATTGAGTGTGTGGACAGGTGTCTTTTATACAGGTAATGAGTTCAAACAGGTGCAGTTAATACAGGTAATGAGTGGAGAACAGGAGGGCTTCTTAAAGAAAAACTAACAGGTCTGTGAGAGACGGAATTCTTATTGGTTGGTAGGTGATCAAATACTTATGTCATGCAATAAAATGCAATTTAATTACTTAAAAATCATACAATGTGATTTTCTGGATTCCGTCTCTCACAGTTGAAGTGTACCTATGATAAAAATTACAGACCTCTACATGCTTTGTAAGTAGGAAAACCTGCAAAATCGGCAGTGTATCAAATACTTGTTCTCCCCACTGTATATACACTGCTAAATTAATAGTACTAGAAATGCATTGAGATAATGATCTGTATTTATTCCAAGAATGAGGAAGGTCATACTAGAATTATGGATATTTATACTGTATGTTAATATAAGTGTACATTTTGACAGTTATAATGTGTGATACAGATGAGGGTTTTAATTTTGAGTGATAGGACCAATGTGAATCAATAAGAATTGTCATTCTAAATTTGGTTGAGTTAAGTAATTTGGTTTTGGTTTTAATTTATAAGATGACTGAGTGATTTAAGTAAATCATTAGTATATATTAGTATAACTATTTTCAGAATGAAGGATATTGATTGTACAATTGAGATAACTGTCTTATATAGATATTTGGGTTAAAATAGCAATACATTATGGTAATGTCTTAGGATACACTTATATGATTTATTTTGAGTAGACATTTTTGAATCTTACTGTTTGAAACATGTAAGTTAATATACTAATTATATAACATAACATAACATGTTGATTATTAAGTTACCATATTCACATATTAGTCACTATATACATTTGAAGTACTGGGTGGTCTTGATAGGGATGTTTAGAGTGGTACATATCTCTGTTGCTAGGCAAGTACTTAATTGGTTCCTATCATGGAGTTTTGGTATTTGTGACATAGGAATGTTTACGATATTTCCATGTGATTTGATTTTGGTTGGATTCCTCAATCATAACTAGTTCAGGGGTGTACTGATTTAACAGGGACTGAAAACAGAGTGTTATACTGTGTATCTCTCCTTAGGCATATTAGGGGTTGAACAGAGTTGAATATTGTACCTATTAACAGTCATGGGTTTTCAAGCTATTGGATCTGAGATGGCAATCATTAGACAATATGCAATTGATAATCGCATAGCATTGGATGCTATTATAGTAGATAAAGGGGGAATGTATGCAATTGTAGGGGGATAATCAGGTTGTACATAATTGCCATAAGGTTTTGGGAATTTAACTAAAGCTATGGGAAATATTAGAGACATGCAGGAAGGCATTAATTCTTCATCTATATCATGTTATTCCAGTGTAGAGTTCGTTGATAATTTTGAATGTTAAGTTGGAACGGTATAACGTGGAATTTAAGGTTTAAAGGATTGAAGATGTGGAAACAAGACATCTCAGTCGATCAGATAGCACCCCAAGTGACCAGAGAAAAGCTTGAGGTTCCTCTGAATGAACATTGATAAAGAAGACAGAAGTTATTTTTATTTGAATATATTATAATTTCCATGTAACTTACAAATTGTCATGAATCAATGTATTTTATGGGATGATGTCAGGAGGTTAGGAATTCATTTTTATGTTTGGTTTGTTTGGTTCAATTAATGTTATTGGCAACTGTTGGATAGAATTAGCTTGCAAACAAGTATATAAACTGAGAGATTTTGTATGGAAGTCATTCAGATGGCAGGAGGCTATGTCCGTACCTCCTGTCATTGAATCCAATATTGTAACCATTAAATAATGACTGAAACAAATCTCCATCTGTGTAACATACTCTCTTGCATCCTGAACTTCTAAATACCAGAAACTCATCATAACAGATGCAAAATATATTTTTTGGGTGAAACAAACAACAAATAAGACAAAAAAACAGAAAACGTGAGCGTGCATAACTACTCATTTTGAAACAAGTTATTCTTTTCATTTCACTTCACCAATTTGGACTATTTTGTGTATGTCCATTACATGAAATCCAAATAAAAATATATTTAAATTACAGGTTGCAATGCAACAAAATAGGAAAAACGCCAAGGGGGATTAATACTTTTGCAAAGCACTGTAACTTATACTCTTAATTCTGTGTGCGTGTGTGTGTTTGTCTGTGTGTGTGTGTGTGTGTGTGTGTGTATGGACTCTGTTAGTCTTTGCGTAATGAAATAGTGTATAAGCTGTACTCTATCACATGGGGTGAGTGAGTGAGTTAGTGGATGAGTTCTGGGCATTTTAATGTCACCAGAGAGTCAGTGATTTAAAACTCTGTCACTGATGATCAGTGGAGACAGAGAGCTCATTAGGACACACCAGACAGAGGGGGGGGGGGGGGGGGGGCATTAACACCTCAAACACACACACCTGGGCGTGGGGGCAGGTGGAGAGGCTGGGCAATCTTCAGTCGACTCTTCAGGTCCTCCCACCTCCTCTGGTCCACTGTCAGCAGAGCAGTACCCTGGGGAGGAAAAATACACACAAAGGTCACACACACAGGCCCCAGAACAGGTATTATGACAGAGTTATAAAGGCTTTATGAATCAATTTGAGAGGAATACTAATCATTATTGTCAGGGAGGTGTACCAGGCAAGTCACCTGTGATACAAGTCAGTATTCGAGGTGTACAGTCTGTTAAATAAATGTTTTAAGTATCCCTATATTTCTGTTATTACGGTGCTATCACTCTGTTATTAGTACGCCTGCGCAGTAGTTTCACTGTTGATGGACCTGGCCTGAGTGCAATGGCAACCATGTACTGTGGAATATGATGAAGTAAACGTTGTTAAACTGTAACCTAGTCGTTGTGTCATTTTAAGTTAACATTGGTAGCAGAGAATGGCTAATAACTACAATGTGCCATCTCGCTTCGAAGAGAAGAGGTCATATGAAATTTGGAAAAATGAACTTGGAATCTGGACATGGGTTACTAAGCACTTGCGGTGGTATTATCGCTCGAAGGAAGAGCGAGAGATACACCACTGGAAATATCCGTTGAGGATTTGAACAAGGATGACGGTATGGGAACTTTGATCAGCGCACTGGATTCTGTGTTCATTAAAGAAGAGAAAGGCCGTGCCTACGACGCATATTCAGACTATGACAGTGTTACTACAGACATTTCGGTTGAAATGACGGACTACATAATTGATTTAGAACAGAGGTACAATAGGATGCGCAAGTACGACATGGTTCTCCCGGATACAGTGTTAGCTTTAATGTTGCTAGATACTGCCTGTCTGGACAGTAGGGAGAAACAGTTGGCATTGACTGCTTGTACTGTGCTGACTTTTGCGTCAATGAAGTCGGCACTAAAAATAATTTTTGGTGAAAAGTCTGTCGCAACAATATTAGATGGAATGCAAGTGCTCCTGTAAGTCGCTCTGGTTAAGAGCGTCTGCTAAATGACTAAAATGTAAAATGTAAAATGTAAGTGAGTGACGCAGCATATTACACTGAGCAGCAGAGAAAAGGCGCCAACAAGTCACGTTCTCAAGACAACCAGAGGAGGGCGCCATTGCCCGGCACAAATCCACTGGACAGGTATGGAACGAGATCAAAATGTGCCATTTGTCAAAGCACTTACCATTGGGTTAAAGACTGTCCTCATAAAAATGAACAAATTAAACTAACGGAGGAAAATGTCAACATAGAGATAGAGCAGTGTAACGTTACACTGTTTTCAAACGAATCTGCTTCTGATACTGAGATCTGTATAGTTCAATCCTTAGGATCTGCTGTGATTGATACTGCATGTACACGCACAGTGTGTGGTGCAAAATGGCTTGATAGCTATGTCAGTGAACTAAATATGAAAGTACAAAATATGACTGTACACACCAAGCAACAGAGCTTTCAAATTTGGAGATGGGGGAATCGTCCATTCTACCAAGAGAGTCAAGATACCAGCAGACTAAGTGTCACATTGAAACAGAGGTGGTCCTGCAGATATTCCCTTACTATTAAGCAAAGCTTCCCTCAAGAAGGCAGGGGCTGTAGTAGACATTAAAAATGACAAGGCAGTGATGTTTAAAGAACCAGTGACCCTTGAACTTACTACCTCAGGCCACTATTGTGTAAACATTTTAGACAAAGACATCACACAGAGTCCATGTAAAAATGAGATTCTGACGGACACAGAGCACATGGAGATTCTGACAGTCACAGAGAACATGAACACAGAGGAAAAACACAAAGTATTGTTAAAACTTCACAAACAGTTTGGACATGCTACAGTTGACAGACTTCAGCAATTACTCAGCAGTTCTGGGAATAATGATGATGAGAGTATTTCCATTCTACGACAGATAGCAAACCTAAGCCCAGACCAGCTGTGGTTTGCCACTGGCTTCCAAGTACAATGAAACAGTGGCTGTAGATCTACATGAGCTAGGACCAAGTGTGTGGTACCTTCACATAATCAACCACTTCACACGCTTCAGTGCTGGAAGCATTGTGAATACAAAGAAACCCAGTGAAATCGTCAAGCACTTGATTCATTCCTGGATAAGTGTGCATGGCCCGCCCCAGAAATTGTACAGTGACAATGGAGGAGAATTCAATAATAATGAAATAAGAGAAATGGCTGAGAAATCCAACATGGAAGTAAAGACAACTGCTGCATAGAGTCCATGGAGCAATGGACTACTGGAGAGACATAATCAAACACTCACAGAGATTATGCTGAAAGTGAAGCAAGACAATGGATGTGACTGGAAAACAGCCCTAGAATGGGCTTTGATGGCCAAAAAACTCAATGCACAATGTTCATGGCTACAACCCATACCAAATAGTGTTCGAGCATAACCCTAGTCTTCCCTCTGTACTGGTTGACAAGCCACCAGCATTAGAAGGGACCAGTGTGAGCGCATGGGTGGGACAGCACCTTTCAGCACTACATGCAGCGAGAAAAGCGTTCACTGAAGCAGAGCGTTCAGAAAGAATTTGCAGGGCTCTGCGTAAACAGCTTCGACCAACCGATGAGAAGTATGACACTGGAAACAAAGTGTACTACAAATAAGTTGACTGTCAAGAGTGGAAAGGACCAGGAGTAGTCATTGGCCAAGATGGTGTGGTGATATTTGTGAGGCATGGAGGCACCATTGTCAGAGTGCATCACTCAAGATTGCAGAAAGTAAATGATCAACAAGATGGAGGGGCTGTTGCTGAGAATCAGCCTCCTACTGAAAATGACAAAAAGCACACACAGACAAACCTACCAGATGTCGCATCCAATGATATGGACACTGAAACTGACACAGGAAATGGAGCAGAGACCTTCAACACAACAGCCACGTGTTAAGACAACATGGTTGTTCCAATCTGAAAACTGGACGAACTGTTAAATACATGGACAGAGAAAGTAGTATTCCACACACAGCAACAGTCATTGGACGAATAGGAAAAGCCAAAGGAAAACACCAGAACTGGTACAACTTGTAGTACTCTGAACCAGCGACACTTTCTGGTACAACAGGGTCAGCTGACCTGTCACTTGTAGATAATCTCAGAATTGAACCAATGGAAAATTGAGAAAAACAGAATGACATTCAAAATGATGATGTACTTGAAACAAAGGACGTGTCATTTGACTCAGCTAAACTAGATGAGCTCAGTAAATGGAGGAAAAATTGAGTGTTTGAGGAAGTCAAAGACATCGGCCAAAAATGTGTCTCAACAAGGTGGGTTAAGAATCCTTAACTGGAATAGTGTCAAAAGCACGTCTAGTGGCTAGAGGTTTTGAGGAGCTGGCTGCTAAAGAACTCCCAAAAGATTCACCGATATGCGCCTCAGAGTCACTCAGATTGCTGCTGACTGTGATCTGCCAGAAAAAATGTAAACTTCATTCCATAGACATCAAATCTGCATTTTTGCAGGGAACAGAGCTGTCAAGGGACATTCATATCCAACCTCTGCATGAAGCTAAGAGCGAAAGAACACTGTGGAAACTAAAAAAGTGTGTGTATGGCCTGGCAGATGCATCACTCTACTGGTACAACAAAGTCAAGGCAACAATGCTGAGTACAGGTGGAAAAATGTCACAAGTGGATCCTGCAGTCTTCTATTGGCTTGATCAAGACAGCAATGTGACTGGAGTACTTGCCTGTCATGTTGATGACTTCATCTGGGGTGGCTCACAGACCTTTGCTACAACTGTGATTCCACACCTCAAAGCGGTTTTCCTGGTCGGCCACAAAGGAACAGCTTGCTGACTGTCTGACTAAAAAGGGAACATCCGGTCTTGTGCTCCTAAAGGCACTCAGTAATGGAAATGGCAGCTTTGTCACACAACCCATTTGCAATGGGGAACTTAAATAATACTTGGGACATTTAATTATTTTGTTGATGTTTTATTTGTCTTTAAAGAAAAGTGGTAGATTGTTAAGTTCATGTTTTAAGTATCCCTATAGTTCTGTTATTACGGTGCTATCACTTTGTTATTAGTACGCCTGCGGAGTAGTCTCACTGTTGATGGACCTGGCCTGAGTGCAATGGCAACCATGTACTGTGGAAATATGGTGAAGTAAACGTTGTTAAACTGGAACCTAGTCGTTGTGTCATTTTAAGTTAACACAGTCTCCAGGTATGCCATGCCAGTATATGATTGTGTTCAACTTTGTTGAAACTGGGAAAAACACACAGAGCACAGAATTGTGCTTTCAATCTGAAACAAATATGCTTGAATGATTGTTTTGGATCTCTTACCTTGTTCTCATTGAAGTTAGCGATGACCACTCCGACAAACAGAGTGAGTCCAATCATACAGCCCAGAAAGACAAAGACGTGGATGTAGATACCATGTATCTGCAGGGAGAGACAAAGGTGTGTCATTACTCCTTACTATGTATGTAGGATCCAGTATTATCATCAACAAGAGAGGGGAAGAGAGAGAGAGGGAGAGAGAGAGAGACAAAGAGAGAGAGAGAGAGAGAGAGAGAGAGAGAGAGAGAGAGAGAGAGAGAGAGAGAGAGAGAGAGAGAGAGAGAGAAAGAGAGAGAGAGAAAGAGAGAGAGAAAGAGAGAGAAGGGGGCAGAGGCAGAGGCAAAGAGACAGTAAAGGTGTGTACCGGTCCGACGCGGTGAATGATGACATCACGGACCTCCACCCAGCCTTTGAGTGACAGCACCTCAAACAGAGCCAGCATGGCATTACCCACATTGTCAAAATTAAAGTTGCGAGGGTTGGCCCTAGAAAAAATACAAAATAAACATACTGTATGCAGTGAGTAGAATTACAGTGTGTGCAAGATTTAGTGCCTCCCCAGCACTATACGTGTTTCAGCCAAACCTAATCACTCACCACACCCTTGGCACCCAGAAGCCAGGCTTCTTCTCTCCTGGTCTTAGTTTGAGGTTGAGGTTTTTAGACACGCTCACGTTGATCCGGAAGATTCCATGGCAGTCCTCCTACAAACAACCAGAGAGCACAGTGATGTCACTACACCATACAAATTTAATAGGTAGAATGGACATACAGTAGATGGCATGAGATGTCATAATGATGTAATCTTTTGATTTAAATCAGATTTTCTGCTTTAATCAATATCAAATAACAACAATGAATTCATAATTTCAAATAGTACACCCAATATGGACATTACTATGAATGGAAATATCCGCTCTTCTTGGTTTGGAAAATCAATTTTATAAAGAGCTTGGTCATACCCGAAGGAATACGTGGGGGTCATTGCACTTGGCTAGTTTTCCAGCAAAGAGCTGAACGCCGAAGCTTGCAAACACCAGCATTAGAGTCAGGAGCAGGATGGAGACCTATAACACACACACACACATTAAAGTAAAAGGGAAGAATGGAAACCTGTGAGTGTGGGTGTGTGTGAGTGTTTTCGTGTGTGTGTTTGTGTGTGTTAGATCAATAGAGGGGTTAGAAACAGCCAGGGCTTTCCCATGCAGTCAAATAGCCTCTGGGCTGCTGGGGAGATACAGTGGGTGAAAAAAGTATTTAGTCAGCCACCAATTGTGCAAGTTCTCCCACTTAAAAAGATGAGAGAGGCCTGTAATTATCATCATAGGTACACGTCAACTATGACAGACAAATTGAGATTTTTTTTCTCCAGAAAATCACATTGTAGGATTTTTAATGAATTTATTTGCAACTTATGGTGGAAAATAAGTATTTGGTCAATAACAAAAGTTTCTCAATACTTTGTTATATACCCATTGTTGGCAATGACACAGGTCAAATGTTTTCTGTAAGTCTTCACAAGGTTTTCACACACTGTTGCTGGTATTTTGGCCCATTCCTTCATGCAGATCTCCTCTAGAGCAGTGATGTTTTGGGGCTGTCGCTGGGCAACACGGACTTTCAACTCCCTCCAAAGATTTTCTATGGGGTTGAGATCTGGAGACTGGCTAGGCCACTCCAGGACCTTGAAATGCTTCTTATGAAGCCACTCCTTCGTTGCCCGGGCGGTGTGTTTGGGATCATTGTCATGCTGAAAGACCCAGCCACGTTTCATCTTCAATGCCCTTGCTGATGGAAGGAGGTTTTCACTCAAATTCTCACGATACATGGCCCCATTCATTCTTTCCTTTACACGGATCAGTCGTCCTGGTCCCTTTGCAGAAAAACAGCCCCAAAGCATGATGTTTCCACCCCCATGCTTCACAGTAGGTATGGTGTTCTTTGGATGCAACTCAGCATTCTTTGTCCTCCAAACACGACGAGTTGAGTTTTTACCAAAAAGTTATATTTTGGTTTCATCTGACCATATGACATTCTCCCAATCCTCTTCTGGATCATCCAAATGCACTCTAGCAAACTTCAGATGGGCCTGGACATGTACTGGCTTAAGCAGGGGGACACGTCTGGCACTGCAGGATTTGAGTCCTTTGCGGCGTAGTGTGTTACTGATGGTAGGCTTTGTTACTTTGGTCCCCACTCTCTGCAGGTCATTCACTAGGTCCCCCCGTGTGGTTCTGGGATTTTTGCTCACCGTTCTTGTGATCATTTTGACCCCACGGGGTGAGATCTGGAGCCCCAGATCGAGGGAGATTATCAGTGGTCTTGTATGTCTTCCATTTCCTAATAATTGCTCCCACAGTTGATTTCTTCAAACCAAGCTGCTTACCTATTGCAGATTCAGTCTTCCCAGCCTGGTGCAGGTCTACAATTTTGTTTCTGGTGTCCTTTGATAGCTCTTTGGTCTTGGCCATAGTGGAGTTTGGAGTGTGACTGTTTGAGGTTGTGGACAGGTGTCTTTTATACTGATAACAAGTTCAAACAGGTGCCATTAATACAGGTAACCAGTGGAGGACAGAGGAGCCTCTTAAAGAAGAAGTAACAGTTCTGTGAGCGCCAGAAATCTTGCTTGTTTGTAGGTGACCAAATACTTATTTTCCACCATAATTTGCAAATAAATTCATAAAAAATCCTACAATGTGATTTTCTGGAAAAACATTTCTCAATTTGTCTGTCATAGTTGATGTGTACCTATGATGAAAATTACAGGCCTCTCTCATCTTTTTAAGTGGGAGAACCTGCACAATTGGTGGCTGACTAAATACTTTTTTTCCCCACTGTATGTAGAGTGTGAGAGAACACTGAGGGCAGGGGAAACCTCACACTCAGCATCTTACTGTAATCTACAGTACAAAGTTAGGTCAAATTTTGTCAAAATAATCACTGTGTGTCTCACATGGTGCATTTCCACAATCAGGCTTAGCTCCTGAGTTTGGCCCAAAATGTATCCACTGTGTATACATGTAAGGTGAAAGTGTATGTGAGTGTTTTTACTAAATGTGGTTCAAGTGTCTACATCGGGCCTGATCCAGAGTTGAGATGAGTGCAAACCCCTCAGACTCTCGCATAAATCATGCATTGATGTCAATTGAAACTTGAGTTAAGCAGGTGGACCTCAAGTAAGAATGTTGCTCATTGCGCATGTATTTGTGTATGCATGTGCATGTCTATCTGTGAGTATGTGTATGTATACAAGCCTGTGTATGTGTTTCTTAGTGCGTTTATCTAGAAGTGCAAGTGAGCACACAGTGTGACCACCACTAACCAGGAAAATCTCCTTGAAGCCCTTGATGACTTCCCGCACCACCTTCCTCATCTGGGGCACCAGTTTAAAGATGCGTAGGGGGCGAAGACACCTCAGCATCATCAACAGCTGAGCCCCAGACTCCGGAGGCACGTTAGGAGGCAGCCAGCACAGGAAGATCAGACTACACTGGAAGAGAGAAAGAAAGGAAGGGAGAGAGAGAGAGAGAGAGAGAGAGAGAGGAAGAGAGAGAAAGGTGAGGAATTAGAAGACTAAGAGAGGAAAGGTAGATCGGCGGTAACGGAGATCTTAAGGTCGATCCGATTTGGTGCTACTATCGGCGCTCGCGAGCGAGAGGCTCGAAGCGAGCTCCCGAGCGAGCTTCCGCGCGAGGCGAAGAGAGAGAGAGAGAGAGAGGAGATGAGACGGAGAGAGTCGTTAGGGAGGGGGGAGGGAGGAGGGAGATGTCATTAGAAACTCAGGTCCTGACCTGGCCTTTCTAACCAAACAGTAAAACGACAAAGCCCATCGGACACTCTGTGTTGCCCTTTTACATGCTATACAATCACCAACATCTCAAAGCTAAGAACACAATCATACAACACCACTAATTTTCACTACACCATCCCACAGCCAAACACACTGGTCACCTTCCAGTTAAGACAGGATCACGCTTTGATCTCAGTTTTTCCCTTAGATTATATTTGAGGCGGGATGACCCTTAATGCAACATCCAGGACTTCAGGCAGCAACATTGTCGATTGACACCTATAGAGGCAAAACTCATTTAGGTAAGAGGAGGCAATAGAGCTAGGCAGGGAGGTAAGGGGCTGCTACCCCCCCCCCCCCCCGGTAATGGTAAGGGAAACACTGGACCACTGTCTGTGTGGAGTGTGCCTGTCAGAGCTGTTAGAATCCAATTATAGAATCTATATGCAAATGACATTCCCAAACAAGTAAGGGAAGAGTTGTTTTGAAAGATGGACAAAAAAAAAAAACTGCTTGCAATAAACATGAAGAGAAATTATGATACCGACGCATCCCGACTAAATTAAGTTTATAGTCAGTCATTAAAAAGCTATCTTCAAAAGTTTAACTGCGTCTTCTTCCCAAACTCATTAGCAATAGCGTTAATCAAACAGTCTGCTTATTCTCACATGATTTAGCAAAGAAAATTATTTCCTCAAAGACCAACGATTGTTCACATTCATTTATTTAGGACATTGTAGACAACAAGACATCAATCAAACTTCTTAAGCAGAATTTATCTTTTCATTATTCTAACAAAAGGCATATTATGTCCTCTCCAAAGTCACAAGGAATACCCCTTATGGGAGACAGAGCGAGAAAAGTGGTCTAGAAACATCAAGGTGTCTTCCAGAAGAATATACTTTACTTGAAAAGACAGTCAGAGACCTTGCTTTCTTTAGGTACAGTGGGGAAAAAAAGTATTTAGTCAGCCACCAATTGTGCAAGTTCTCCCACTTAAAAAGATGAGAGAGGCCTGTAATTTTCATCATAGGTACACGTCAACTATGACAGACAAAATTAGTAAAAAAATTCCATTGTAGGATTTTTAATGAATTTATTTGCAAATTATGGTGGGAAAATAAGTATTTGGTCAATAACAAAAGTTTCTCAATACTTTGTTATATACCCTTTGTTGGCAATGACACAGGTCAAATGTTTTCTGTAAGTCTTCACAAGGTTTTCACACACTGTTGCTGGTATTTTGGCCCATTCCTCCATGCAGATCTCCTCTAGAGCAGTGATGTTTTGGGGCTGTCGCTGGGCAACACGGACTTTCAACTCCCTCCAAAGATTTTCTATGGGGTTGAGATCTGGAGACTGGCTAGGCCACTCCAGGACCTTGAAATGCTTCTTACGAAGCCACTCCTTCGTTGCCCGGGCGGTGTGTTTGGGATCATTGTCATGCTGAAAGACCCAGCCACGTTTCATCTTCAATGCCCTTGCTGATGGAAGGAGGTTTTCACTCAAAATCTCACGATACATGGCCCCATTCATTCTTTCCTTTACACGGATCAGTCGTCCTGGTCCCTTTGCCGAAAAACAGCACCAAAGCATGATGTTTCCACCCCCATGCTTCACAGTAGGTATGGTGTTCTTTGGATGCAACTCAGAATTCTTTGTCCTCCAAACACAACGAGTTGAGTTTTTACCAAAAAGTTCTATTTTGGTTTCATCTGACCATATGACATTCTCCCAATCCTCTTCTGGATCATCCAAATGCACTCTAGCAAACTTCAGATGGGCCTGGACATGTACTGGCTTAAGCAGGGGGACACGTATGGCACTGCAGGATTTGAGTCCCTGGCGGCGTAGTGTGTTACTGATGGTATGCTTTGTTACTTTGGTCCCCACTCTCTGCAGGTCATTCACTAGGTCCCCCCGTGTGGTTCTGGGATTTTTGCTCACCGTTCTTGTGATCATTTTGACCCCAAGGGGTGAGATCTTGCGTGGAGCCCCAGATCGAGGGAGATTATCAGTGGTCTTGTATGTCTTCCATTTCCTAATAATTGCTCCCACAGTTGATTTCCTCAAACCAAGCTGCTTACCAATTGCAGATTCAGTCTTCCCAACCTGGTGCAGGTCTACAATTTTGTTTCTGGTATTTTTTGACAGCTCTTTGGTCTTGGCCATAGTGGAGTTTGGAGTGTGACTGTTTGAGGTTGTGGACAGGAGTCTTTTATACTGATAACAAGTTCAAACAGGTGCCATTAATACAGGTAACGAGTGGAGGACAGAGGAGCCTCTTAAAGAAGAAGTTACAGGTCTGTGAGAGCCAGAAATCTTGCTTGTTTGTAGGTGACCAAATACTTATTTTCCACCATAATTTGCAAATAAATTCATAAAAAATCCTACAATGTGATTTTCTGGAAAAACATTTCTTAATTTGTCTGTCATAGTTGACGTGTACCTATGATGAAAATTACAGGCCTCTCTCATCTTTTTAAGTGGGAGAACTTGCACAATTGGTGGCTGACTGAATACTTTTTTTCCCCCACTGTATATATCAAACGTATCATGTAAGAATCTCCCTTTGCAACATTTCCCCTCAGCAGGGAAAACTGGTTGCAATTACATATTGTGATACCTGAAAAAAAAAAAGTGAGCTTTCTGGCGCAAAATGGCTGCTGTGGCATCACCCAGGTGGGTGCTACATATTGGTGGTGGATGAGGTGAGTTTCCCACATACAATGTAAAGTTCTTTGAATACTTACGAGGTAGATGAAGATGTCCATGACTCCTCCAAAGTCTCTGATGACGGCCGTGGGAGTGAAGAACAGGCCGTCCGCCATGATCTTCAGGTTCAGCTCGATACTCATGAAGATGACAAAGACATACTCTCCTATCTGAAACACACCAGATATTAAGCTCCAATAAATATTTTATTTATGTATTATTTCAACCTTTATGTATTCAGGTTGAAGCCTTGTCCCCATCATCTCTACATTAAAAAATCCCCATAAGAGAACCATTTGAAGAACACTTTTTGGTTGCAGGTTCATGGACCCCTAAAGTGGTCTATGAACCAAAAAGGGTTCTCCTATGGGCCCAACCGAATAACCCTTTTGGAACCCTTTTTTTTTAAAGAGTGTAAACCATCATCTCTGTGCCTGGTCCAAGTTAGCAGCACAATAAATTAATACAGAATGTAACTCTGTACAATAAGTTGTATGTATACTGAACAAAAATATAAACGCACCATGCAACAATTTCAAAGATTTTACTGAGTTACAGTTCATATAAGGAAATCAGTCAATTGAAATGAATTCATTAGGCCCTAATCTATGGATTTCACATGACTGGGAATACAGATATGCACCTGTTGGTCACAGATACCTTTTAAAAAATGTAGGGCCGTGGATGGGGCTGTTACGGTGACCGTATTACCGCCACACCGGCGGTCATGAGTCATGACGGCAGTCAAATTCCACGTGACCGTTTAGTCACGGTAATTACGCTTCTCCAAGCTCTGATACTGCTGATGGTCATTAGTAGCCTACCAAACTTGCTAACTGCCTGGTACTCAGTACTCTATTGTCCCTCTAATCACTCTGACATCGAAAATCTAATCAAACACTTCATGAGAGCCCATGCACTCTATAGGCTATGCAATTGCGTGAGAAAACAGAGTGATGGCCTCTATTAAAAAGAGGGTGATCCCATCAGCTTTCTATTGGCTAGGCCTACTATATATATTTCTCAACTTTCCTAATAATATGCACATTGCTTCTCTTTACAACAGGAGTATAGCCTACCTGGCTGGCATGAAAATGAACCATGGGAAAAGTGTCCTCCATTTGCTATTTACTGTAAGTACATAGATGACATGTCTTTTTTTCCGCTGCCCCTGTTTCCAAACAGGCTGATGATAATTGTCCATTCTAAATCAAAACAAATTTCACACATATATTATTTAGTATATGTAAAGACAATATTAAATCAAGAATAGTGTGATGGGTGACAATATTAGCCTATTATTTGTGAATGATATATTATCACTTGTGAATGATGCCCAGCTTAAGGCAAGAAAAGCGCAACTTTTTCAAATCATAGTCACACACCTCATGTAGCCTAGCCCATAGGTGTATATGTTTTGATAAGGTTTGTATCACAACTAAAGTGGCTGAATAACTTCTTAAAATGAAGCACATTAATCCTCTTTACAACGGGTGTAGAGCCTAACTGGCATACATACGCAGCGCATGAGTTTCAAGTTTGGGGAAGATAATTTTCAGCAGAAAAATGCACCTTTGTAATAAAAGTAATACATGCATAATCACATTTGTGGTCACTTACCTGCTAACGTGAAGAAATACCCTAATAAATTATCAACAATTGAAGCTAAATGTTCTCATCTGTTGTGTTAGGTTCATTGATTAAAACAGGGTTTTTGATGCTAGTGGTTGTATTAATTTGGGATCTATCGCGTCCCACAACTGTCCCAGACTATGTTTGAAATATTTATTTCTCGCACAGAATATAATAGGTCGCCTTCCGTGTGGCGCAGTGGTCTAAGGCACTGCAACGCAGTGCTTGACGTGTCACTACAGACCCGGGTTCGATCCCAGGCTGGCGGCGCACAATTGGCCCAGCATCGTCCGGGTTAGGGAAGGGTTTGGCCGGCCGGGATTTCCTTGTCCCATCACGCTCTAGCAACTCCTTGTGGTGGGCCGGGCGCCTGCAAGCTGACTTTGGTCGCCAGCTGGACGGTGTTTCCTCTGACACATTGGTGCGGCTGGCTTCCGGGTTAAGCGAGCAGTGTGTCAAGAAGCAGTGTGGCTTGGCAGGGTCGTGTTTCGGAGGACGCATGGCTCTCGACATTCGCCTCTCCCAAGTCCGTAGGGGATTTGCAGCGATGGGACAAGAATGTAACTGCCAATTGGGGAGAAAAAGCGGGTGAAAGTACAAAAAAAAGAAAAGAAGAATGGGTCGACTTTTGTACTATGGCGGATAGTAGATTGACATAGGCTAATGCTTTTGCTGTTTGTTAGGCCTACTCATCTTGTTGGCTGATGAAAAGTAAATGTGGACTGTTCTTCCAATTTCTTCAATATGTGTCTCAGAATTGAATAAGGACACGAGCAGTTGCGTCCCCAATGTCTGACTTCACGTGTAGCCTGTGAGAAAGACCCGATCACGTGATGGAGAGCCATGTGAGTGCTTCTGCAGTCAGCCAGGGCAAGGAAATTATAATTATTATATTCAGCCCAAAGGCACAATGACCACT